TTTTCCCCATAAAGAACGCCTCTCTTGCTAAGATCTAAATTTTCATTATCGTAATCCTTAAAGTTAGGACACTTCTTGCTAATAAGTGAAGTTATCTTATTATTACTTCATGAAAATATCTTATGAACTTTTACATTCTTTATTTTAATATATCAGACGTTTTTTTAAAGAAAAAATTATCGATATTTTAAGATCACCAAAAACAGCTTGTATAACCACTATAAAATACTATATAAGAATTTCAAATTTAAGAAATGGCTAATCTCCGTCTAGCTTCCTCTACAAAATAAATTCAAGTTTTCGTTCCTTGAGAATTTCTTCTGATTTTTTACGGCATCCTTTTAAAAGCTTTTTGAAAGAGCTTCTAAAAAGAAAGGTAAAGAGCACAACTTTTTACATGTTGCTTGGAGAAAATCTTATAAAGAACCTATGGTAATTTTAAGAAAACAAGATGTAAATGTAGATTTTTTCAAATTAAATGAATATTTTTTTAAACTTACGATTTTAGAAGAAAAAATCACTTTATAAATCTTTTAGAATGGTATTTTCTTAAACTCTGAGATTCTAATAATACTCGTCCAGGGACTTTTGTTGAAAAATTCAAACACTTTATGAAAATAACAATCTTAATTCAAATAATTCATTTTTCGTTTCGCGCTGTAATATATGCTGGAAAAAATATATTTTACATTATATTTATTAAAATATATATTTTTACATTACTTTTTACATTGATGTAAAATTTCTCCAGGTTTTTTAGATTAATATGTTCTCATCTCAGAGTAGTTTGATTGATTTGAAATTTTATTTTTTGACATGAGTCACAGCTTGCTTATCTATGTCTAATAACGTTGGAAAAATGCGGATAATAAAAGTACTTAATTAATATGCGAAAAAAGTGTCGTGGCCTTATGTCCATACATTTCATGTATCTCGTGAATTATGTCATTTATTAAGCTTTTAGTTGAGGATAAGTTTTTGTTATCTTCTGCAACTCATTCCCTGAGTTTCATTGGAATTGGATACGTTTTCTTAAAAAATTGTCTTTTATCATCAATTTACAGTTCGTGTTCATAAATTTATATTCTACCCAGTTTCTACAAGAATACATTTATATAACATGCTATAAACTTGTAAAATCTTTCTCAAAATAATGGTGAACTTTTTTTTCGTGTGAATGATTCTTTTATTTCTAGATTATCTTCAGAAAGAATGAACTCAATTACAAATTGGATTGCAGAGATCTGTCGAGCAATATTTTTCATCATAATTTAAATAAAACCAAGTTTATTAAATAAAGAATTTTCAATTTTTTTTCATTGAGAAAGAAAATTTAAACACTTTTATGATTGTAGTCAAAATTTATTTTTATTATTCAGGAGAAAACAATATAATCTTCGAAGCGACGCAAGTTAACAATAAAACCGATATAAATACATACTCGACAGCACCCCATTTCTGTCTAATTATTAGAGAACATAAAAATTAAAATAAAATTTATAAAATACTTTGCAATCGAAATGATCCCAGTATCACCGAGACAATAATGACAATTATTCCTAGTGCCGTCTGTCGGCTCCCAATTTAGACACAGAACGCGGCTTTCCATTTGAGCTAAAAGCATCTTTGATAACATTCCAAGCTTCGATATACCAGGGAGTTCCTTCTTCTTCTCTATTATTATATTTACCAGTTCATCTACTGTTAATTTTCTTATTGACAATGAAATTTCAGAAATCGCTATTTTAAGTGAATCTTGTAACAAAAACATTATTGCTTCAACAGATTCATGCAATATTTTATTTTCTTTCAACTGTAATAAATAAGAAATAAAGTTATACATTTCAACTTTTTTTAACAAATTACTTTCATTAATCTTTTCTTCTAATTGTACATCAATTTTTTTGATAGTTTCAATATTTTTGTATATATCATTTCCATTTATAATAGAATCATTCAATAAAACTTCAATTTTAGTTAATTTGTTTTGAATGTTTACTAATGTATTTTTATTTCTATTATTTGTATCATTACACCAGATTGACAACCTTTTAATAAATATAATCAATAAAGATTGCTCTATTTCAAAAATTTCAGTTATTGATACTAATTTGTTCTTGGAACTGTGCAGACAAATCAAAGCATTATCTGAAATACTTGGACGAATACTATCAAGAAATCTTCTCTCTATACTGCTCGTGTTGGTAATAGCCGAAAACATACTGTAAATCCGTGTCAGAACTAAAAATGTTGTCATTTTTTGCTTTCCTGAATAATGCAATACTATTATTATTATTTATTATATAATCTACGAATTTTTTTGCATCACTGGACAATTTTACATTGGTTGAGAATAATTTTTGTTTTAATTTGTATTTTATCATTTCAATGTTAACTCTGTTTTGAAACGATCTGTACGGTGTTTTTGAAAAAATTATTGACATGCTTGGAAAAAAGTCAGTAAACTTATTTCCAAAAAATTTTTCCAAATCAAGTAAAAATCTTGAAAGTGATGCAGTATTGTCACGTTCTACGTCGGCAAAATTAAAAACTAATATAAATTTTAAAGTTTTAACTTTCTTTACCAACTGATAGATATAAATAGAATTAGTAATGTCTTGTACTGTCCCTCTATTATCTTGAAATCCTGGACAATCAAAGATGCTCAAACCAGGCAATTTAGTTGAGTTCCATTTTATGGGAATTGTAGTTTTTGAAGTTGGTCCAGCACCAATCTCCGGTCCCCTGGATTCATTTTCTGCCTTAATTATTTTAAATTCACTAAATTGCGAGAATCTTACGCCCCTTAATTTATTGCCTATTAAGTAATTAATTAATGTACTTTTTCCTACTCTTCCTGGTCCTATAACAATTGCTGCATCTTCATTCAATGCTTCCTTTTGCATATACTCTTCAGCTTTACTGAAAGATTGTTTTATTTCTGTTACTTCAGTTTCAGTTAATGTACAACTTTTACTATGTTGTAGTGAAATTAGTAACAAAATGATTGTAGTTCTTAACATGATTGATTATTTATAATAGTTTATCAAATAAAAAATTTACTAATAACGTTGGTGATTATTTCTGATATTACAGCTTTAACTGAAAAATACAAAAATAGTATATAAATATTGAAACTTATCAATTATACAAGCAGAGTTTTTAAAAATCCTTATTATTTCTTAAAATACTAAAAACAGTTTTACATTACACATTCTTTTAAAAGAGTTTTCAAAAATTTTTCGAAAAGAAAGAGTTATGCTAAAAACACCTGTTTTTTAATCCATTTTTCTGACCGCAAATTTTGCAATCAAACATATTCTAGAATGCGACATATGAATTAATATTAATATCATAAATATTTTGAGTAGAGCATATCCTTTGTTTTTAGGATATAGTGTTAAAATGCGGTTTTAGAGGAGTCAAAACGGGTTTAAGTACCAAAAATAGAATATGCCCAGAATCGCCTGAAACTTTTTACTCGGAGGTTTTTGGGTTCGCTGATCTATGGTCCGATGTCAGTTTTACAAAATTCAAAATGGCGGATCAAATATGGCGGACGACTTTCTTTTAAAATGCTCAAATCGGTTTAAAACTGATTAGTCGGGGGTTGTCAGGGTCGCTTATTATGAATCTGATGTCATGTTTTTGAAAATTCAAGATGGCGGATCCAATATGGTGATCAAAAAAATAAAAATCATTCGGATTGGCTTAAAAATTGTTACTCGGGAGTTTTTAGGGGCGCTGGTAACGAATATGATGTTAGTTTAAAAAAAACACTGTTATAATCCCAAGCAAAAATTGACAACTGGCGGAGTACAGGCCGCCATGGTTGAACCAGTACTGGCATTTGACCGAAATGATAACGCTTTTCAGTACTGGATTGATATTACTGGCGTAGTACAGAAATTTTATTGAAGCCAGTACTGAACCAGTACTAGCAAGCCAACTGCTGGCATGCCAGTACTGGTGCAATACTGCGCCTGTTGTGAATACTGGCATTTGACAGAAATTTTTGCTTGGGATGTTATGTGTTGTGATGTGTGTTAATAGTGTGTTGATGAAATAAAATAATAATTTAATTATTATAATCGATATATATTTAACGTTAATATGTACTTACTTTTTTGATTTCCAATTTATTTAAGTAATTTTTGAAAAATTGCCAAGAAGGCACAATTCAATCTGTAGTATTCGCTTAAAACGTTATGCGACGTGGCACAGAGTAGATACGAGATTACGTGGCGTTTTCATAATGTTTATAAATTGTAAAAGTATTTCTGTATTATATATTTAGACGCTGACCAATTCTCATGCTAGCGGTGCATTAAGTTTAGATAAAAAGAGAAATTTTATGAAAGTAAAACGTTTATTTGAAAATAATAAATTCGAGTATAAAAATTTATGAGGTTCCAAAGTTCTGAAAATATTTTTTTAACTGATTAGGGTTGCTATAATTTTCTTTTGTGCATAAATGACATTTATAAATTTTGCATATAACTGAAAAAATTACTTCTAAAGATAAGCTGTAAAATTATTGGTTAGGGCTTCCTGAAGACACTGGAATTTTAAACTCAATTTTACAATATTCAATATTCATACAACTCAGGTAATATCTAGATGACAGAAATTAGAAATATTTAGAAAAAATAAATTTTTCCTGTACTTTCCAAACTTTGATTGTTTGATAGCGTACGGGTGGACCTGCTACTACTTAAAAGTTGAAATAAAATTTTCTATTCTTCAGAATACAGTAAGGCTCGATCCCTACTACAACTCACGTGATTTCCAGATGACAAAAATTAGAAAAAATACATTTTTTTCATTGAAAATTTTTAAGATAAACGAAATTCTTGAACTTTGAAAATAATAATTTGACGCAAGAAAAAAAATAATATATAATTTAACTTATAAAATTATCATAAAAAATATTTTAATATTAAATAATTTATAAATATTTATATTTAATATTGTTCAGTGCACACGGTAATAAAGAAACTGAATATTGTATCAAGATTGACCGAGTCTTGAATCGAGCATGGGACGAACATTGGTGTCCCATGCTGAACCAACATTCCGGCCTTCTGTGGCCGAGCGGTTTAAATACGTGTGTTAAATACTTTTCCCGTATGCGTTAGGAGGGCGTGAGTTCGATCCCTCATGCGAGCGAATATTTTTCATTCTTTGTTTTAAGCGTTATATAAAATAAAATTGTGTTGTGTTGTGAATAAAAACCGTGAACATGTTTGTAAATAATGTTAAAAGTCTGTTAAAAAATCAAGAAAAAAAATGTAACGATTTATTTGTTCGAACACACACTTAGACGCGACTTGTCACTGTAAATTAACAGTATAAACAGAGTAGCAAAATGACCCTCTATTCTCTTGCACTGCATGTTGTTTGGGAACCAAGCATCTATTCGCTATAAATTAAAACATAAATTTCAATCAACCGGGTTGAGGCATTTATACACCCTATATTCATATATTGCCGTGTTGTCCTGCGTGTGCTCATACTCATACGCATATGAAGGTCGCTATATAGCTTCAGGCGTCAATGAAAATCGACAGAATCACAATTACTCCAGATCTGATTAAAGCAAATTGTGACTTTCGTAGCTTCCATTCCACGCCTACTTTTCTTGACCATATGGCCCCTTAAGCAAAGATGATAATTTTTTTTCAAAGGAGTATTCTTACATATATCCAATTTAATATCTAACTTTAAAAATATATTAAAATGCAAAAATTTTAAATATGCTATAGAATTTCAGCAGATGTAAATTATAATACGTCTTCATAGTTAATGTAGATATTGACTCTGTTTTTAAATTTTTTATTCAACATCGTTGCCCCCCAGTGGGCAACAAAATATTCGGGAAACTAGAACAATTTAAATCTTTTAGTCAATTATTTTAAAATATTCAAAAAATATTTCGTTCTGTGTGGGAATTAATTAATTAATTGCAACTTCTATTATTACTGATATAAAATTTTAATAATTAATTAGTATTAATATCAATGCTTATTATAATATTGTAAAGGGAATATATGCACATGCAGTGAAATATTACCAGTTTGTTGTAAAAAATAATGCTGAAAATAATTAATAAATTATTTCCACCATCGTTGGGATGCGTTTCGGATACCTAACGTATTATCGACGATTAATAATTCGATAATATTATTTGCATTGAACGCAATTTTAATGCACGAGATAATCATAAACGACTCTTGCAGAAGATTTCCATAACGAATTATTCAACTCGAATTCTACTATTCGGTTATTTAGTGAATTCAGCAAATTACACGATTCGAATGTAAATTAACGAGTGAGCATATAATAGGCTGGTTTCGAGGGAATGTGACAATTAAAACCTGTAATTAATCAAATCATGTTGCACTTTGTGTCTCTTAATCAGCATCAGGAGTTATTCAATCTACCCACGTGAAAAAGTTCCCAGGAAAGCACTCCTAGGAAATTCCAACAGAAATTCCAATTGGAAATTCCGATAGGAAATCTCACTTGTAATTTTTAATTTAATATTATATTATTTTTATAATTTTTAACCTCTGATAACACAAATTAAGAAATCGTCATTAATTATTTTATCATATTTTAGTGTCACCTTAAATCTGAATTGAAATAAATAAAATTACTGAGGTGAAAATGAATTGTCAAAAAGTACATTTAAAACAATTATTCCGAAAATTAAAAAAAGTCTTTCTAACCATTCGAATTCAGTGACACTTTAGAAAATCAATCCAATTGGAATTTCATGTTGATAATTTGCTAGCAGTGCTTTCCCGAGAAATTTTTTAAGAATGGGTACGCTTTTTAAAAAGCCTTGGCCTTAACCATCAAGTGGAGGACCGAAATTAGAGATATATTTTTCCCATTATCAATAGACGAGCAAAAAAAAAAATTAAAAATATTACTCATCTTTAGAGAGAGCACGAAATTGATCCCAATGTGGTAAGTTTTCTTTAGGAATCATTCCCATTTTAACTAACCCGATATTGAGAATGTTCCTACCGGCGTTCACGTCGCGATTCCACGGAATTTTACATGTCTCACAATAAGTTGTTCGATTTTTATAAATTTTAACATTTTCATTGCACGTGCTGCATAACCTAGTGGTTCGATGCTCGTCGACAAAAACAATGCGTAAATTTTGTGAATTTCGTTGTTTTTCGACCAATTTCTTCACTACGACGCGCAACGACATGCGAATGTGACCTTTCATCCACGGTGATATATTTGGTTGTCCAATTACAATTAGTTGTTTTTTCTTTTCATCACCAACAATGTAATTAGCCAACAAGTCGGACTCCCTTTGCACCATCATGTATTTATCCCATTTCAGGGCAGCGATTCTTCTCTTCTCTTGATAAGGTTGGTTGTCGAAAAATGCTTTCAATGCAAATTTAGTTGATAAGAAAATAGTCGACGAATCCTTGTGATTTACTTTATCCCTAAATTCTTCCGTACTGCTTAAATCATTGTAATACTTTCTGGGATTATTTCCATACTTGTATAAGATGGATTTTCTCTTGTTTACTTGTGTGTGCCAACGAAACGATTTTGTTTTAATTTTAATATGTTTATCTTGGGAATTGATATTAAAATTGCACTGACCATTTCTCTCGACTCCTCCGAATGCCAAATTGAGACCTGGATCAAGACCTTTGAGTGTCTGGAAATCATTTAAATTGAGAGATTTTTTTTCCGTTTCAGTAAATGCGAAATCGATTACTGTTTTAGGTTTCACGACATTATAAATTATCGATACAGCAACACCATCAGTCATAATAGTACCAGAGAATTTAAGCTTATTCGAATTTGTTCGAATTTTCGAAATTCGAAACATTTTCTCCCAACGCTCTTCATTTTTAATATATTTTCCAGCATTTCTTTCCGACACGATGGTGTTGTGTTGCAATCTACAATTATTCATTTCGCTCTCCTTTGCCATTAACTCCTCTTTAACTTTTTCGAACTCATTTTCCAATTTTGTTAATTGTTTTTTGTCAAAACTTTTATTTTTTTTTAAAGTTTTTAATTCTCGATCTAATTTTTTTTTGTTTTCAGCAAGGAGTTTTATTGATTTTTTTAAAGGTGACATTTTTATTTTGTACTCTTTTTCCACGGCAGAAATTTCCTTTTTTGACTTCTTCTTAGCCTCTATCTCAGAAACTGTTGATACTTTCTTTTTCGGTGTTTCTTGTGTTTTAAGGATTTCTTTCTTCTTCAACATGATTTCCAAGTCATGTAGACCAGTATTTGTAAACGTGAAATATTTGACGCCGGGTTTCATAATGGGCACTAGAATGAAGCTTGATACATTTTTCGCGACAAAATAAGATTGTAATCTCATGAAGAATTTAAAAAACAAGTGACATTTGTTATGGCTTTGTACATCGCAAAAGTTTAAATTTTCTTCATTAAGTTGTTTTAAAATCAAATTATTGCACGTATTATCCTTTAAAAGATTATTGACATCGTCCTTGATCTTGTTATTTATATTTTCAAATTCTGTACTATCGGTGTTATCAATATCAATAGCTGTCTCATCATCTTCTTCTTGCTTATCTTCTTCTTCCATATTTTCATCTTGCTTGTCTTCTTCTTGCTTATCTTCTTCTTCCATATTTTCATCTTGCTTCTCTTCTTCTTCTTCCTCTTCAATCTCCTCTTTTTCTTCCCCCTGTTTATTTCCTGTCATGCGATTTGAATTTGGAATCTTCTTTCCCCGTTTTCTTCTTTTTCTAAAAGGCTCTCGCGCATCGTACACAAATATTCGTTGTTTTCTTGTATTAATTTTTCTTTCACGAGATTCTTGTTGCAAAATCTCTCTATCTCGCTCCCTTTTGTCAGGTTTCGATAAAAGCAGTGAAGCTTCTCTCAATTGTCTAACTTCTTTTTGGAATAATTTTTTTCTTCTTTTTTTTTCCATCTGCTTCTTTCGTTTCTTTTTATACTTTTTTTTTCTTTTTTCCTGTTTCTGTTGTTGCGCAATTTTTTTTTTAACGGTAAACTTATTGATTTTCTTTTTTTTCCTATCACTTGATTTATTCTTTATGTATTGGGTTTTAAAAAAGAGGCCTAAACGTTTTTCTGCATGATATGAGAGATTTGTACGAAAATTGGTGTTTAGTTGTCTAGCCATTTCTTGGATAGGTGCACTTAAATGTTCACAGTTAAACGTTTGAAATGGCCTACCCATTAATTGGGTGAATTCTGGAACATAAATTTTTCTTAAATTATCCAGAAATTCTTTTTTTCCCGTTGCACGAGTATCATTTTTAAATAAATAGGCGATGGATAAATAATCTGGTCCTTCAGTTGACCACAAATCCCTCAAGTAACTATGTTTCGGGTGTCGAAGCGCGAAATTTACAAATAAGGTGACTAATATGAACATTTGGGACAACATCCTTGTTTTATCAATAATTACGTTACGCAATTCTTCGTCTGGGCAAAAAGACTCGTTAAAACCCGTTTTAATCGTAAATTTTTTTTGCTCATCTTTTTTTAATTCTTCCTTCTTGTTTGCAGCTTTCTTCCTTCTCTTTGGAGGTGAAGATGTTTCTTTCAGTCGAGCTTCACGTAAATCTGCTTCTTTGCTTGTGCTTGGTTTGTTATCAAATTCCGTTAATTTGAAATGTTTCGGAGGTGCAGATGTTTGTTTCAGTTGAGCTTCACGTGAATCTGCTTCCTTTCTTGTACTTGGTTTGTCTTTAAATTCCGTTAATTTAAAACGTTTTGAAGGTACAGATGTTTGTTTCGGTTGAGCTTCACGTGAACCTGCTTCCTTGCTTGTACTTTGTTTGTTATCGAATTCCGTTAATTTAAAACGTTTCGGAGGTGCAGATGTTTGTTTCAGTTGAGCTTCACGTGAACCAGCTTCCTTTCTTGCACTTGGTTTGTCTTCAAATTCCGTTAATTTAAAACTTATCGGAGGTGCTGATGTTTGTTTTAGCCGAGCTTCACGTGAACCTGCTTCCTTTATTGTACTTGGTTTGTCTTCAAATTCCGTTAATTTAAAACGTTTTCGAGGTGCAGATGTTTGTTTCAGTTGAGCTTCACGTGAATCTGCTTCCTTGCTTGTACTTGGTTTGTCTTCAAATTCCGTTAATTTAAAACGTTTCTCGGGTATTGGACATTGATTCAATAAATCCAGTGGAGCATTATCGAAACCAATATCCATTGGCTGTTGATTATCGATAATGCTGCTACTTGAATCAATGTCCAATATGCCAAAATGACGTTGCCACGAGACTGTTGTATCGCTAGAAGTTGACATTCGGGTTTCTTCATCTTGGTGTATGAACGAAGATTCCTGCTGTTGTTCTATTGGTGAAGCAAACAGTTGACGACGCACTGATTCTCGCGACAGTTGATGAGAATCTTGTTGTCCTTCGATGTCTGGTGTTATTGAACGTTGACGATAAACTTCAACATTTTCTCGCGTAACATTTGCTCGTGGAAATAGTGGAATAAAAGGTCTCGAAACTTGTCGTCTATTGTGAGCAACAATTCTCGCCACTTGTAAACGATCTTCGTCTATTGGTAATGGGAAAGATATATCTCTATTATCCGAATTATCTGACATTTTCAAATAACGAGTAGTAAATTATCGAAACTTAAAACTAAGAATTACAAATATATACAAGTCTAATTAACAATATTTTTTTGATTCCTCTTGATTAGATGTCACGAATGAAGATGATGTCGCCAGAAGAAGAGTTGATATATCTAAAAAAAGGTTTCAATTTAACATTTTGCAAACGTGAAAATTTAATTTAATAACAATTAACAATTATCTTCCACTATATTATGAGAAAAATTTTGCGGGGTATTTTTATATAAAAATTGATTCAAATATTTTGAATCGCTTTAATTTATAATGGAATTGTTTTTTTAATGCTTTGTATAAGAATTGTTGTAAGAATTTATATATTTTCTAAAAATTTCAATGAACAATTCTTAAAAAGCACGATTATTTTAAAAATATGAAAGAAATTGTTTATTAAATTCAATTATTTTCAAAAGTTTTAATTTAAATTATTAAAGAAACTCACGAGTCGTTCAACGCATACGCCACGCCTCATGGACAATTTCAGGGATGTGTGAATCATATTTATCGCTTCGAAAAAAGGACACTATTCAATGGCTTTGGTTCGTTTAAATTGTACGGCACTGAGCACTGGCGCGCGCATACTAGAAATTGAACGACTCGTGAATCGGATACTGATCAACTGTTGAACGACTCGCGAGAACTCACTGTATTTTAAAACAATTCAAAAGAAATTCTTCAAATGAATTTAGGGGTCGTCCATAAACCACGTAGCCCTATTTTTGCTACTTTTCGACCCCTCCCTCCCTCCCCCCATGTGGACTAACGTAGACTTGTGCTGTAACACCCCCCCTCCCCCAAGTACAATGTAGTTTTTAAAAAAAAATTTTTAAATGCGTTTTTATCGATAAATACATAGTTTAAAATTATAAAAAAGTTAACGATTTTAGCTATCCCCGGCGGAATGTGTTGAGTGAGAGTTGAGCGTATTCGATCAGAATTCTCTCAGGTTTACTTAAAACATTATTATAAGAGCTAATTAGTAGTTATTTAGTAAAAAAAAAAGTTATTTAAAGTGGCAAATTAATATTTAGGGAATTAATTTGTGCAACAGTTAACTGCAATTAAATAATAAAGAGTATTTAATTACACTTTATTTAATAACAACTTAATTACACTTAACTATTGCACAAATGAATTCCCTAAATATTAATTTGACGCTTTAAATAACTTTTTTAACTAATTAACTACTAATTAGCTCTTATATAATGTTTTGAGCGAATCTGATTGAATTCGCTCAATTCTCACTCAACACTTTCCGCCAGGGATCGTGTAAACTAGAATCATAAATATTTATGGAAAAATAACCAAATGACAGATTTTTGAATTTTTAGACCATAATTTTACAATTTAAATTGTTTATAACTTTTTAAAATAGTTTACACGAAAACTACACATTCAAGGAACAGGCAGTCCGAATTCCAAGTTATTTCGTTGAATAGTGTTAAAATAAGAGTGTAAACAAGTAGGAAATATATAGTTCCGAGAAACACGCGTTTAAGGGTGTATTCTGTATTCTGGTCTAGAGGCCTCAATTTTAAAGCGTTTTTCCGAGTAGAATATAAAAGAAAGTTTAACATTTTTAAAATTTACTTTTTTTGCAAGTTGTTTATTAATGTTTAAAAAATACAGAAAATAAATTATAAAAAAAAAGTATTAAAGAATTTTAAAAGTTATAAACTTTTGAAGTGGAGATTGAAAAAAATTCTCGTTGACACGATAACTCAAAACGTATTCAACAGATTTATTTTAAATTTTGTTTACTATTTTTAAATAATTCAAAAGTGGCAAAAAACATTGTCTTTAAATCACAACTCTTTTTTTAAGTCGTCGACATTTTTCTAAAAAAAAAATTTTTTCTTTTGTCCGAGGTACCGATCATAGCAAAGCTTTTCATAATCAAGAATTTCTTTGGTTTTTTGTTTTAGAGCATTACAAAAGTCTCCACACTGTCAACTATTTCGCACTTGATTCTTTTCAGTCCCCACTTCCCCAGTTTATAACTTTAAAAAAATTTTATTATTTTTTTTTCTAATTTTTTTCTATATTCTTTAAAACATTGATTATCAATTTGCAAAAAAAAGTTAATACTAAAAACGTTAAACTTTCTTTTCTATCCTACTCGAAAAAAATGCTTAAAATTGAGGCCTGTAGACCAGAATACCCCCTTAAAGTTTAAAGGACCAAATTTACAAAAGTTTAACTTAATGTTATATACAAAATCTTTGTTATGTAACGATAGACATTTCTTATCGTTTAATAACTACTCTTTTAAGCGGTGTACAAAGAAAAAACTGTACATTTAAAAATAAACAAATTACAGTTATTTAATTAATAAAAAATATTAATATTAATAAAAATATCAAAATAAATATTGTAATAAAAAACTACGTAATCATGGCTCGGACCCCTCCTCTCCCCCACATAGCCCTCCGTAGAACTTCACTAAACCCTCCCCTAAACTGGCTACGTGGTTTATGGACGACCCCTTACTTACGATTATCAAAATTTTTAAAAAATTTATTAGCGAGATTTCAATTATTTTCATAAGTAATAAAATTCTTTGTGGGAATTTAATTATTTTTAAGAAATTTGATTAAATTTTTTAGATTCACTTAATGATTTTAAAATTGAAAAGCACTTAATAAATTCTTCGAGAAAATGCAATTATATAATCTAAATACTAAAATTCTTTGCAAACATTCAATTTCCTTTTAATTTTTAATAATATTTTTAGAGAAAATTCAATTATTTTTAAAAATTTTAATAATTCATTTGAATCAATTTAATTATATTTATAAATAATAAATAACTTTCCACAAATTTAATTATTTCCAACAAAATTTCATGAAAGAATATAATTAGAAATTTTCCTCCCGCCCTTTTTTCTCGATTATCCTTAGTTATAGATATTTTGAATGTTTTATTTATTATTATTATTAAAATTTTTGAAAATTACTTTCTTTCAATTAGTAAATATAATTGTTTCTATTAATAACAAGTATTTTTAATAGTATTAAATGTTTTTTTTAATTGAATGAATTTCTAACCTTGACGATGGGAAAATTTGAGGAAATTTAATTGCTGCACGAGGATTGAGTTTTTAACGATAAACTAAATTTGGTGCTCAAATCGATGACATGAGTTCGCATGATGACTGTATACAACAGGTCCTTGGCTCGTTAGTCGAAAGTATTCTTTGACCAAGTTTCTCGAGGCAAAAAAGGCGGATAACTCTGAAAACAATTCAAAATTTTCAATTTTCGCATCAGAACGGTAAAAGAGAATATAATTTTTCCAGTTAATTTAAATACTTTCAAAATTATTTGACAAAATAATGGAATTTGCTTTTAATTCATTACAAAAATTTAATTACTGTCAATTTCATAAATGAATTCAACTATATTTATAAATAATTAATTCCTTTTCAAAAATTCAATTATTTTCAAAAAACAAATTTACAAAGACATTGAATTTTTTCTTATTTCATTATAAAATAATTTAAAAGATTTCAATTAATTTCTAAAATTTTAATTAAATTCTTGTCCAAAATTCAATTATTTTCATAATTATTAAAATTGTTTTGAGAAATTCAATTATTCAATAATTTTACGATAAACATTTCTCCTCCAAGAATTCAATGATTTTCAATATATTATTTTTAAAATTCAAAAAAAAATATTCAAATTAAAGAAAGAATTAGAAAATTCATTTAATTTTTTTCTATATAAAATATTTAATTTAAAAAAAAATTTTAATCTTATGCTTTTATAGTTTTTAATTAAGTTTTTTTAATGTTATTAAAAATCAATGTTTCCATTAATAATGCGTATTTTAAATAATAATAATAATAATAGTTTTTTTAATTTAATGAATTTCTAACCTTGACGATTGGAAAATTGGAGGAAATTTAATTGCTGCACGAGGATTGAATGTTTAACGGTAAACTAAATTTTGTTCTCAAATCGATGACATGAGTTCGCATGATGACTGTATACAACGTCCTTGGCTCGTTAGTCGATAGTATTCTTTGATCAAGTTTCTCGAGGCAAAACAGGCGGTTAACTCTGAAAACAATTAAAAATATTCAATTTTCGATATACAACAATAAAGTGTTCAATCATAATAAAGAGTACAATTTTATTTTGCATTAAAAGAGAATTTATTTTTTCTAGTAAATGAAATTTAATTAATATTGAAATTTTTTTCTAATTTATAAATGAACTATGTAGGGAATTTTAGTCGTAAAGAACGGAATTTACTTAATTATTATGAGAATATCAAAATTTTGTTTATTAAAAAAAACCGTTAATTAAAAAAAGAATTAGAAATTTCAGTTAATTTCTTTCTATATAAAATATTTAAATTAAAAAAAAAATTATAAATCTTATGCTTTTATAGTTTTTAATTAAGTTTTTTTAATGTTATTAAAAATCAATGTTTCCATTAATAATGTGTATTTTAAATAATAATAAGTTTTTTTAATTGAATAAATTTCTAACCTTGACGATTGGAAAATTTGAAGAAATTTAATTGCTGCACGAGGATTGAGTTTTTAACGATAAACTAAATTTGGTGCTCAAATCGATGACATAAGTTCGCATGATGACTGTATACAACGTCCTTGGCTCGTTAGTCGAAAGTATTCTTTGACCAAGTTTCTCGAGGCAAAAAAGGCGGATAACTCTGAAAACAATTCAAAATTTTCAATTTTCACATCAGAACGGTAAAAGAGAATATAATTTTTCCAGTTAATTTAAATACTTTGAAAATAATTTGAAGAAATAATGGAATTTGTTTTTAATTCATTACAAAAATTTAATTACTGTCAATTTCATAAATGAATTCAACTATATTTATAAATAATTAATTCCTTTTCAAAAATTCAATTATTTTCAAAAAACAAATTTACAAAGACATTGAATTTTTTCTTATTTCATTATAAAATAATTTAAAAGATTTCAATTAATTTCTAAAATTTTAATTAAATTCTTGTCCAAAATTCAATTATTTTCATAATTATTAAAATTGTTTTGAGAAATTCAATTATTCAATGATTTTCAATATATTATTTTTAAAATTCAAAAAAAAATATTCAAATTAAAGAAAGAATTAGAAAATTCATTTAATTTTTTTCTATATAAAATATTTAATTTAAAAAAAAATTTTAATCTTATGCTTTTATAGTTTTTAATTAAGTTTTTTTAATGTTATTAAAAATCAATGTTTCCATTAATAATGCGTATTTTAAATAATAATAATAATAATAGTTTTTTTAATTTAATGAATTTCTAACCTTGACGATTGGAAAATTTGAGGAAATTTAATTGCTGCACGAGGATTGAATGTTTAACGGTAAACTAAATTTTGTTCTCAAATCGATGACATGAGTTCGCATGATGACTGTATACAACGTCCTTGGCTCGTTAGTCGATAGTATTCTTTGATCAAGTTTCTCGAGGCAAAACAGGCGGTTAACTCTGAAAACAATTAAAAATATTCAATTTTCGATATACAACAATAAAGTGTTCAATCGTAATAAAGAGTACAATTTTATTTTGCATTAAAAGAGAATTTATTTTTTCTAGTAAATGAAATTTAATTAATATTGAAATTTTTTTCTAATTTATAAATGAACTATGTAGGGAATTTTAGTCGTAAAGAACGGAATTTACTTAATTATTATGAGAATATCAAAATTTTGTTTATTAAAAAAAACCGTTAATTAAAAAAAAATTAGAAATTTCAGTTAATTTCTTTCTATATAAAATATTTAAATTAAAAAAAAAATTATAAATCTTATGCTTTTATAGTTTTTAATTAAGTTTTTTTAATGTTATTAAAAATCAATGTTTCCATTAATAATGTGTATTTTAAATAATAATAAGTTTTTTTAATTGAATAAATTTCTAACCTTGACGATTGGAAAATTTGAAGAAATTTAATTGCTGCACGAGGATTGAGTTTTTAACGATAAACTAAATTTGGTGCTCAAATCGATGACATAATTTCGCATGATGACTGTATACAACGTCCTTGGCTCGTTAGTCGAAAGTATTCTTTGACCAAGTTTCTCGAGGCAAAAAAGGCGGATATCTCTGAAAACAATTCAAAATTTTCAATTTTCGAACTACAACGGTAAAAGAGAATATAATTTTTCCAGTTAATTTAATTACTCTCAAAATAAATTGACGAAATAATGGAATTTGTTTTTAATTCATTACAAAAATTTAATTACTGTCAATTTCATAAATTAATTCAACTATATTTATAAATAATTAATTCCTTTTCAAAAATTCAATTATTTTCAAAAAACAAATTTACAAAGACATTGAATTTTTTCTTATTTCATTATAAAATAATTTAAAAGATTTCAATTAATTTCTAAAATTTTAATTAAATTCTTGTCCAAAATTCAATTATTTTCATAACTATTTACATTGTTCTGTGAAATTCAATTATTCTCAAATTTTATGATAAACATTTCTCCAAGAATTCAATGATTTTCAATATATTATTTTTAAAATTGAAACAAAGTATTCAAATTAAAGAAAGAATTAGAAAATTCATTTAATTTTTTTCTATATAAAATATTTAATTAAAAAAAAAATTATAAATCTTATGCTTTTATAGTTTTTAATTAAGTTTTTTTTAATGTTATTAAAAATCAATGTTTCCATTAATAATGCGTATTTTAAATAATAATAATAATAATAGTTTTTTTAATTTAATGAATTTCTAACCTTGACGATTGGAAAATTTGAAGAAATTTAATTGCTGCACGAGGATTGAGTTTTTAACGATAAACTAAATTTGGTGCTCAAATCGATGACATGAGTTCGCATGATGACTGTATACAACAGGTCCTTGGCTCGTTAGTCGAAAGTATTCTTTGACCAGTTTCTCGAGGCAAAAAAGGCGGATAACTCTGAAAACAATTCAAAATTTTCAATTTTCGAACTACAACGGTAAAAGAGAATATAATTTTTCCAGTTAATTTAATTACTCTCAAAATAAATTGACGAAATAATGGAATTTGTTTTTAATTCATTACAAAAATTTAATTACTGTCAATTTCATAAATGAATTCAACTATATTTATAAATAATTAATTCCTTTTCAAAAATTCAATTATTTTCAAAAAACAAATTTACAAAGACATTGAATTTTTTCTTATTTCATTATAAAATAATTTAAAAGATTTCAATTAATTTCTAAAATTTTAAGTAAATTCTTGTCCAAAATTCAATTATTTTCATAACTATTTACATTGTTCTGTGAAATTCAATTATTCTCAAATTTTATGATAAACATTTCTCCAAGAATTCAATGATTTTCAATATATTATTTTTAAAATTGAAACAAAGTATTCAAATTAAAGAAAGAATTAGAAAATTCATTTAATTTTTTTCTATATAAAATATTTAATTTAAAAAAAAATTTAAATCTTATGCTTTTATAGTTTTAAATTAAGTTTTTTTAATGTTATTAAAAATCAATGTTTCCATTAATAATGCGTATTTTAAATAATAATAATAATAATAGTTTTTTTAATTTAATGAATTTCTAACCTTGACGATTGGAAAATTTGAAGAAATTTAATTGCTGCACGAGGATTGAGTTTTTAACGATAAACTAAATTTGGTGCTCAAATCGATGACATGAGTTCGCATGATGACTTTTTACAACAGGTCCTTGGCTCGTTAGTCGAAAGTATTCTTTGACCAGTTTCTCGAGGCAAAAAAGGCGGATAACTCTGAAAACAATTTAAAATTTTCAATTTTCACATCAGAACGGTAAAAGAGAATATAATTTTTCCAGTTAATTTAAATACTTTGAAAATAAATTGAAGAAATAATGGAATTTGTTTTTAATTCATTACAAAAATTTAATTACTGTCAATTTCATAAATGAATTCAACTATATTTATAAATAATTAATTCCTTTTCAAAAATTCAATTATTTTCAAAAAACAAATTTACAAAGACATTGAATTTTTTCTTATTTCATTATAAAATAATTTAAAAGATTTCAATTAATTTCTAAAATTTTAATTAAATTCTTGTCCAAAATTCAATTATTTTCATAATTATTAAAATTGTTTTGAGAAATTCAATTATTCTCAAATTTTATGATAAACATTTCTCCTCCAAGAATTCAATGATTTTCAATATATTATTTTTGAAATTGAAACAAAGTATTCAAATTAAAGAAAGAATTAGAAAATTCATTTAATTTTTTTCTATATAAAATATTTAATTTAAAAAAAATGTAAATCTTATGCTTTTATAGTTTTTAATTAAGTTTTTTTTAATGTTATTAAAAATCAATGTTTCCATTAATAATGCGTATTTTAAATAATAATAATAATAATAGTTTTTTTAATTTAATGAATTTCTAACCTTGACGATTGGAAAATTTGAGGAAATTTAATTGCTGCACGAGGATTGAGTTTTTAACGATAAACTAAATTTGGTGCTCAAATCGATGACATGAGTTCGCATGATGACTGTATACAACGTCCTTGGCTCGTTAGTCGAAAGTATTCTTTGACCAAGTTTCTCGAGGCAAAAAAGGCGGTTAACTCTGAAAACAATTATACATTTTTTAAAATTTTATTAAATTTTTTAACAAAATGCAATTATATTTCTAAATAGTAAAATTCTTAACAAAAATTCAATTTACTTTTAATATGTAATAATATTTTTAGAGAAAATTAAATTATTTTCTAAAATTTTAATAAATTGGTAAATTTTTACTTTAATTACATTAGAGAATAAAGTTTAAAAAATGAAAAAAATATAAATTCTGTATTAAAAGCTAAAAAAACCACTATTCAAATTTTTAATAACATTCTAAGAGACTTTAATAAATAAAAATATTTATGTTAATAAATATAGACATTTTATTTTTTTCTTGCATTTAATCAAAAAATATTTAATCTATATTTATATTTTTTAATTTTTTAAACTTATTTATATCATTTTAAGGGCATTTGAACCTTGATGACGTCACACATGCTTTGCACAATCTGTAACGTCATCAAGGTTCAAATGCCCTTAAAGAAAAGAAATTTTGAAGAAAATTTTTGAGAAAAAAGATATGGAAAAGAAAAAAAAATTTGTAATTTTGATATTTTTTTAGAAATATTTGTAAATAATAGATTATAATTATTTTCTAATTTAATAAAAATTAAATTATAATTAGATTCAATTGTAACTAAAATATATAATCAAATTAAAATTGTATCTGAATTTTAATCGTAAATAATTAATAAATCTATGTGAATTTCTGTTCACCATGAAAGTGGAAATCTAAAAAAAATTCAATTGTCAATTTTATATTCCTTACTTTTTTTTAAATATTCAGTTTATTTTAAATATTTTGCAAATTGTATGCAAATAAAACCTTTATCAATGAAAATGTTAAGTTTTAATGAAAAAAAACTTTTATATTGTTAAAAAACAGAATATATTACAGCAAATATAATGAAGGTAACTTTGCCTATTTTGCAATAAAATTCATATTTGACAAATAATCTAACCAAACTTTTTTCTCCACTTCATTTACTTGTAAAATTTTTTTTTATATTTTGGAAAAAGTCAATTTTTATTTTTGTAAACATACTTTTGTACTTTTTTATTTAATTCAAAATATTTTAAATTTTTTTCCTATTTTGTTTTTATAATAAAATATCTGCTTTTTTTCTAAAAAATTTTTTTTAAAAAAAAAGGAAGAAAATGTGTCAATAAATGATTGAAAACACAATTATAAATATAGAAAAACGTGCAAAAACTTTTTTAATAAAAAAAAATTCAAAACAAATAATAACAAAATTATTTTAATTATATTATTAAAATTATTTCTCTATTATTGTTTTGAAAACTTTCTGAAAATCTATTAAACCAATTAATATTATTTTCTTTAAATTAAATTAAAACACAAAATAAACATTTTCAATTTGAGGTTATCTTGAATCTCAATACATTTGAAGAAAAAAATGAAATTTATTTCTTTAATTTTAAGTTAATCTGTTCAAAAAAAGATAATTACAATTTTTTATTGAATTCAGTGATTTATATATGTGTATTTCGATTTTTATTCTTTGGTTTAATTATTATTATTTGAATAACAATCACAATTTAAATTGTTCATTTATTATTTTTGAAAATTTTCACAAAATGTTATAAAAATCATTTATTTTATTTTCTTTGTAACGTTTAAAACACAAAAAGAAACATTTTCAATTCGAGGTTATGTTGAACCTCATGCATTTGTTGAAAAAATAAAATTTCTTTTTTACTTTCATGTAAATATGTTCGAAAAAAGATAATTATCAATTATTATTAAACAATTTTGTAAATATGTAAAGCGAATATTCAAGATAAAGTATTCGTCGATGCATATTTTATTGCACCAGGTGTTGATTGACATGTGACAAAGAATTCTTACCTGTTAACGCAATCTACAAATATCAACTGAATTTGTAAGAATCGAAACATGAAATTGTATACTAACCAAATAAAAAGTTAAACAATAACTAATTTTGTAAAATAAAACATTTCTTCGACTGATTTTTTGAGCAAAAAAAATAAATTATTGACGACGCGACATACGTGACAAGCAGCACTTTTTTACAAGATGGCGACCGGCCATTGCTGCAAGTCACCACTACGTAGTCAAATGAAAAACTTTTTTTTTACAAAATAAATCAATAATCAAACAAAAATAAAAATATATACTAATCGACTCAAAATAAACTCTTAACCATGAATTTTTGACGGAAATACTAATCATTGCGGACAATCGTATATGAATACCACTTATTCATCTATTATAATATGCTATTATATTTTAACTCTTTTATTTTCTATGTGAATAAATAAATGTTTCGTACTAAACAAAGAAATAATTACGCACTAGAAAGATATTGAAACAAAATAAAACTCCATAATAGACTACTCCTTGGCGTAACGAGAAATACATGGTCATGTCTATATTTGCGACCAAATTTTATTATGATTATTTCTTATTATCAAATGACTCTAATACAAATATATAATGAAAAAATTCAAAAATATATCAATAAAATTACGAGATCTTACCAAATTTGGAAATAAATCTGCAGCTCGATGTGAACGGTGGACGTCGGAAGTTGGCATTTCTCAAAAAAGTTGGCTAGGCGACAGTACTACGAACCCTAGTCAAATGAAAAAATTTATTTTCACAAATGAATATAAGAAAAATTAAAAAAAAAATAAAATATATTTCAGTAAAATAATAAAATATATGTTTTATTTTATAACAAATAATAAAAATTTCGTACAATCAATTATCATTTATAGCAGGCCTGATTTATAGTTATGATGGAAACAAAGAAAACTTGTTGGCAACAGTACAGAATGTCAACATATATTTGACAAAATTTAATGAAATATGATTATTTTTTCTCGTCAAATAACTCTGATACGAATATACAATCAAGAAATTAAAAAGTATACAAAAATAATTGCAATATCTTACCAAATTCGAAGAGAAATCTTCAGCGCACGAAAAACGGTGGACGCCTCATGACCGGGCCGGAAGCGGAAAGGACATTTTTCCAGCAGTGTGACGCAGACCACGCAGACTCAGATCCTCCCCACCATAGCGCCCAACTTACCCTTTCCATTCTCCACTAACACAAAGACTCACGGTGCGTTTCAACTCGTACGTGAGCCTTTTTTCGTCTTTTTCGTTTTTCTCTAATTTATCGACAAATGTGGCGCGAAATTTAAAAATGATAATTCTCCGAGAATTATTAATAATTATTTCAAAGATAATTATAATAAATATTGCACGTTTAAAATTTTTTTGATGAATATATTTAAAACTTGCATTGAAAGTAATTTAGTTTTCATATAGAATGTTTAAAAAATATTTTGAGAATAATTGAATTGTTTTTAGAGAATTTTAAATTCTTGTTGAAATTGAATTTTATGGACATTCTTGAAAATAATTAAATTCTTTCGTGTAATTTTATTAGAATTAGATTAAAAATAATTTAATTCCTGCAAAGAATTTTTAGTATTTATTAAGAGAGTCGAATTGTTTCGAAGAATTTTTTTAAATTTTAGGAAATAATTGAAAATATTTAAATTCTTCCGAGGAATTCAATTTTTTCAATTAAAATTGTTTTGAAATTATCTACGTTTCTGTAAAAAATTTTATTTTCCTTTTTAAAAATATTTGAATTTTTGTGAAAAATTTTACTACTTAAAAATAATTTAATTGTTTCGTGAAATTTTATTAAAACTAATTGAATATTTGCAAAAAATTTTACTATTTATAAAAATAATTGAATTCTTCCAAAGAATGTTATTATAGGTATTTATTTAAAAATAATTGAGTTCTTGCGAAGAATATTAAAATTTTGATAATATAAACAATAATAATAATTTCGGACTTAATAAGTACAAAAAATAATTTATAAAATTTTGATCATGAAATTATTTAAAAATCTATATTTGAAAATAAAAAATAATTTTGTAATTTGCATAAAAATAATAAATTGAACTGTAAAAATTAAGAAAATGAAAATATTATTATTGTTATGTTTTCATTAAAAATTCTTTACTTTCAATTTTAATTAGGCCATAATCTCGTACTTCGTTTAAAAGATTTAATAGAAATTATTTTTCATTTTACAAAGTAAAAATAATTAAGTTTTTAATTAAATTAAATTGCCTTAAAAATCAGTCCTTCTCCGTTTTTACAACAATTTTGCAAAGCTACTTGAGCCGCGGCCACTATAGCATGAATTGGCGCCATCTCCTTGACCACTGATACATAGATCCACTTGTCTGTGTGCTCGCCGGCTTTTTAACTTTGTTTTCCAAATTACTTGTAAACTTCGAGAATATTCTTCAATAGCACGCATTTCTCTATTATATTAATTAATCCGAACAAATAAGCATTGAAATATTAAATTAATAAATTACTACTTTTAGGTTAGTCAACTAATATTAAATGTATTAATAATTAATAAAGTTGTAAGTATGTATACATAATAAATACTAAACATAATTATTAGTATATATTTTCAAGTAAATTTTAAATTAATAATATTTTTGTAATAAAAAAATACTTTTATCTAATTTACTGTTGAGTTTAATTAATTAAATTTACAGGAACGAGGAGCGAAATATATTTATAAGGGATTTCTAATTACAATTTGCTGAATGATAAAAAATTTTTGCTATTAACATAGCCTAAACGAATTTTTTATTCTTCTTTCTATAGAACGAACTGTATATAAATTATACTTTAAATATTAATATTATTATAGTTAAATTAAAGTATTGAATTTATTTATAATTTGGATTTCTTTTCAAACTGTTCATTCAATTATAAATATGTAAATTTTTAAATATTTCATATTTATAGCTTATATCAAAGTACTTACTTCTTTTCGACGCCTCAAAATTGTATGTCGTCCTGCCACTATTTTTGAAATATTGTAGTATTTCAGCAACGTTGGCAATACTGCTGAAAGTTTTGGTGCTGTGGGGAAGTGGTTGTAATGAAAAAATTGGAAAATCGATTACTTTCCTTTTGAGAAGGAAATTTATTTTTTAGACGGAATTTAAATTTATTTAATGTTTTCGTTTTATTAAGGTTATAATTTAATAAATATTTGAAATATTCAAAAAAAATTAAATAATTTTCACATTTGGCCAAATACAGAAATAAAAGAAACACGTACTTATTTATTTTCTATATAGAATTCTACAAAAATAGTTTTAATAAAAAAAATATTTGGAGTGAAAATTTCACGGAGAATGACCCATATACACATTTTATAAAACAGTATTTTATTTTTTCAGCATTAAAAATGTGCAATGTAATTTTATACGAAATTTATAATCTCAATGAAATATTAAGAACATTAATTCTTTTGAACTAACAAAATTTTATAAATGAAAATGTAAAACAATTTTAACGGTAAACTAAAACTTTTTGATCGTTTAAGTAAAACGATTTTAACGGTAAACACAACATTATTATTTATTAAATAATGTTTTTAATTAATCAATTAACTATGATATTCGTCATCAGTTTTCCAAAAATCCCAAATTTTAATCATTCCATCATTAGCAGACGATAATATTCTGTGATCATCCATTTTGATTTTTAATATTAATCCATTACTTGCCTATTGAAAAACAAACAGAAATCTGTATTATTTAAAAATTAAAAACAAAGAAACAAATCACAAGATATAATTGTTAAGCAAAGAAATAAGGGATAGTACAGAGGAAAGCGGCAGAATGGATGATTCAAGGGATGAGATACGGGTATGAAAGGTTTTTTTTAGCAACTTGAGAACGGCAGTTGGAGACCCAAGGCATTCTTTTCTCTAAAAAATTGTCGAAAACTTCCTAAGAATTCATTCTCATGAAATAGTTTAGAAAAAATCCCTAAAGTTTGGAAAAATTCTCTTAAACATTTAGAAAAATTTCCTTATGGAAATATAGGAAAAATTTCTCAGAATTTGGAAAAATTATCATATTTAGAAAATTTTTCATGGCATAACCATGTCACTTCAAATTATATAAAAATACATAAAATTAAACTTTTTCAAAAAAAATAATTCTTCAAAATTGTTATTAAAAAGTTTAGAAAACTTAAATCTTCAAATAAATTTTAATTTAAAACCTTTCCAAAATTATTCAATTATTTAAATACAAAAGTACACTGAGAAAATATACTTAATTCAAATACGAATATAATGTTAGATGATTTTATTTAATTGAAATTAGTTTGTAAGCTTAATTCCAATATATATAAAATATCAACTGCTTTTATTTGAAAGTATTATTTGTTTGAATAATTAGATTTAATTCAAACATATTTCCTGTTTTTGTTTAAACAAATAATATGTTTAAAAATTTTATGTTTGATTCAAACTTAAAATTTGATTATAAATAAACAACAACCATAACTTATATTTGAATTAAATAAATCGTTTTCTCAGTGTAAATATATTATTAAATAATTGCATGTTTTTTTAAAATTTAATTCTTATAAAGAATTATAATAACAAATTTTTAAATAATTGAATTCTTTTGGCGAATTTTAATCAAATTTTTGAGAATAACTATATATAATTAAATTTATAATAATAATTTATTATTTATGAAGTTAATTGAATTATTAAGAAAGAATTTATAAAAAATCTGTTAATAATTAAATTCCTGTGCAATTTTAATTATTTATGCAAATAATTTGTAAATGTTTTTAATTAAATTTTAATTAAATTGTACATTGTACACTTTAATTAAAAAATTGAATTCTTTTGCGAAATTTATTAAAATAGTAGATATTGAAAATCATTAAAATCAGGCAAATTTTTTTTAAATAGGTTGAATTTTGGAGAAGAATTTTGTAATTTATAAAGATAATTGTGATTGTGAAGAGAATTTTTTTTAAACTTTGAACATAATTGAATTTTTGTAGGAACAATTTTATTACTTTTGAAAATAATTGAATGCCTGCAATCATTTGTAACTTCTTTAAAATTCAATTTTTAAAATATTTTAACTAAAAATTTTACTATAAATCCATTATTTTTAATAATTATTTAAATATACATATGTGACAGGGACAGTTAAAAGAGACCTACGAGCCGAAAAAATCGATTTTCACTTTTTTATCGATTCTTAGGTGCTTTGACAAGAAACAGTGCAAAAAACCAACTTGGTAAAATTCGAAGTCGTCTTTCTCGAAATCCTTTTTTCACACCGAAGGTCTCTTTTAACTGTCCCTGTCACATACATTGGCAAATCATCAACGAATTAATTATATTAACATATAATAAATAATAATAATCCATTTGTGAGTAAAACATAAATCAATTATTAATAAAAATAATTGAATTTTCGACAAACTTAAAATTTGTTTCAAATAATTTAAGAGAAATAATTTGTGAAAATAAAATGTTCATAAAGCTTATTCATATTTTTTGAAAAACATAATTTTAATTTTAGGAGCAGTGTTTTCCAATAACGAAAAATTCCTGAAGGGAAGAAAATTAAAACCTTTTTAACATGATTAAAGCATCAACAAAAAAATTTTTAACTTTCGCTTTTTCGTACTTTTAAAAACATATTTTCCATTTTTTGGGGGCAATTTGACAAATAAACGAAGGGTTACGAAAGGGTTTGGGCGATGAAACTTTTTTTACATCTTCCAAGCATCGAGTACAACTTATTCGCACAAAAAAATGTTGACTTTTCGAATTTCTCTACTTTGAAAAAATTTTTTTTGATTTTTTTGGGCAATTTGACCGGAGAAGGGTTTAATTAATCGATGTTTTAAATTTCAACAGTTTGCTTAAACTAAACAATGACATTTCGCCTATAAATTAACCAGTGATTAAATTCTCACTTGTGCCATTTCGAAAGAGTGTCAATAAATGTTTTAGAAAAGATATCTGAAGGTTTATTTTAAACTACGCAAAGGGTTAAAGAGATCAATTTTTGAAATTTCAACGGTTTCCTTAAATTGAACAATGACATTTCGACAATAATTTGACCCGAGATCAAGTTCTCACTTGTACCTTTCGAAGGAGATTCAAAAAATCTATTGAGACTGATATTTAAATGTTTAATTTTAACACCGCAAAAGTGTTAAATTGAGCAATGTTTGAATTTTTACGTTCTCTTTATATTATAAAATGACACCTCGCCTATAAAGTGACCAGAGATCAAGTTCTCATTTATGCCAATCTAAAGATATTAAAAAATTGTGTTAAGACTGATATTTAAATGCTTCCTTTTAACACTGCAAAAGTGTTAAATTGAGCAATGTTTGAATTTTTACATTCTCTTTAAATTATAAAATGACACCTCGCCTATAAAGTGACCAGAGATCAAGTTCTCACTTATGCCAATCTAAAGAGATTCAAAAACGTATTTTTTTATGCTATTTCCCATGGCATAAGTGAGCATTTGATCTTGGGTCAATAAATGTGTTAAACATCCGTTTCAAATTCGTTAATTTTTTAACGTTACGTTCTTCAGCCTAATAAATAATTTAATAACTTACGTTCAACGTTCGAAAACACAATTCTCTTGGATTAGACGTAGGGTCGAGACAAGCTACCATATCCCAAATTTTTATTTTTCTAGAAAGAATAAAAAAAAGAATTACTGTTAATAATAATAATATTTGCGGTATTATTATTTGTAGGGTAGTTGAAAATACGTATTGTGGATAACAAATTTTTTTCACATTTTCAAAATTTTTATTTTAGTAGAAGGTATAACCTAGCATATATAATAATCAGTTCTTTAAAATTATTTCTTACCTAAAAGAAATTTGACTTTTATGAAGAAATGCAATTTTATGATTTGTAAAAATGTTGGAAATTTATTACCTTCATATAGGACAACAATTTCCCAAAGTAATCAAGCTAATCCCAAAACTTTTAATTTTTGGCTAGGACATTTCATAAATAATGCCGCAAATATAAATTTGTAAAATAAATTTTTTAATTGAATTTTCCAGGTGATTGTTGTTTATGGATTATAGTTAATTGTAAAGCATTGTAAAATCATGTGAAGAAAAAAATTTAAACGCAATCATGTTAACTGAAAAAAAACTCACCCATTTCTTGATCCGCTAATTATGTACTTTTCATTGAAAGTTATACTTCTGACCATTTCATAATGGTCTTTTAACTCTCTGAGGCAACAAAGCGTGTCTACTTTCCATATTCGAATAGTTTGATCAGCGCTGCCGCTAACAATTATATTATTTTCATATTTTAAGCAGGTAATACCTCGAATATGTCCTGTTAGAGTGGAATGAATCCTAAATGTGGACCTATTCCACAATTTTATTGTTGTGTCAGTGCTGCCTGACACAATATATTTTTCATCTAAATCGACAACATTTACTGAATTTTCATGTCTCAAAGAAATTTGCCTAACGAATGTTTTTGGAGAAATAATTGTCCATACTGCAAGTGAACAATCCTGTAAAAAAAATAATAATAAGAAATTTAATAACTAAAGAAAGTGAAATAATATTTTTCTTTAAATTATTTATTTTTAAATTTCTTTGAAATATTTCACAAATTCAATTTACATGTTCAATTTGAACTCATACTAAAACCAAAGGTTTCGTATATATGTATATTAAAGTGACAAACTATTTTCATAATATTTTTCCTAAATTCTAGTCCAGTTCAAGCATAGTAATGAATTTAAAGAAAACATTAAAATGTGGATTAGTTCGCCAAATCAGAGTTTGTGATAAATAAGAAAGAAAAATTTGAAAACATTAGAAATTTATCAAAAATTAACGATTTAATAATAAACTATAAAACTTAATAATTACATGTAATTTTTTATTTACCTAATACATTAGGGGAGACCGGGGCGTAATGGCTAAGGGGCGTAATGAATAATTGTAATTTGTTTAAAAACCGTAAATTGTAATAATTTCGCACAATAGACAAGTTATTGTACTTGGTATATTGCAAGTTTGTCGGAAGTTTCATTAATATTTATTCATTATTGTAAGAAATATAGTAGAAAAACTATTTTTGACATTCGAAAGTAACTTTTCAAAATTTTCGTTTTTTCGTTCTATTTTTTTCAAAAATAGCTTTAAAAAAAAACTGAAATGAGGTTTTGATCTTGACGCGTTTGTTTTTAAGGGACAATTCGAGATTTTTGATTCACACTTCCGGTATTGTTAAAAAAAGCCAAATATTTGCCGAGTACCCCCGGGGCGTGTTGGCTAATGCAATACGCTATGTCTAAAAAGCAACCTACCATATCGGCGAAGTGTAGGTTTGTTTTCGCGGTTACTTGTCACTTAGTTTAAGTATGTTTAGGTGTTTTTAACAAAATTTTAAAGTTTTGGTCTAAAATTTACAAATAGTAGATTTCAAGCTACGACTTTAATGAGAAATTACAAAAAAAATTGAGAGAGTGCCAATATCACAGAATATTATTGAAGAAGCGATAGGAGAAGTATTGCTGAATAAAAATAGCATTCACGGAATACCCAGGAACCTTAATTTACAATATACAATAAAATTGGAAACTGTAGATAATAATTAGCAATCATTATTCATTACGCCCCGGCTCGGGGCGTATTTTGGAGCTCTGCATTGCTCCAGAAAAACTGCTGTAGAATAAAAAGCAAGAGTCATATCGGGACGTTTGTAGTCTTAAAAGAAAGCTGAGATACCAGAGTAACTTTTCTGAGAGATAAACATTCAATTAGGACAAAAATGTCCGAGTAAAACAACAAAGAGTGAAAAGTTAGCCATTACGCCCCGGTCTCCCCTACAAAAGAGTTTTTTATGAGAAAAATTAATTTTGTAATGCCCACTGTTCGTATTCCGCATTCTGTTATGGATTTTTAAATTTGTAGTAATATAACAAAGTAATCACATCAATAATTTAATGTTAAAATTAGTTAAGGAAAGAAATGTAAATGTTATTTCGAATGAAAGTGGAATTTTTTTTTAAGATACAAACCTTACTGGCCGTTATTAATGTATTATCTTTCAAAGCTATGTCCATTACGTTATCAGTGTGATGCTTTAGGATTTGTATTATTTCACCATCTTCTGTATTCCATACAATAATTTGCTTATCACATGAAGAGGAAATGAGATAATTTTTATTATAAAATTTCAATCCCAATATTGCAGCACTGTGGCCGCCCTCCAGGATTTTCGTAATTGCTTTACTTTCGATATTCCACACTCTAATTTTACCATCATTGTGTCCGGAAAATATTTCCTTATTATTAAACGTGATTGCATAAATTACTTTGGCATTTTCCACTTCTGTGTCATATTGAGTGACATAAATTGCTTTGTTTCTCCAATTATCATCAATTTCTTTTGCAATTGATGAAATAGAATTCAACATATTTTGGTAAAAATTATTTTCGTCACTTCGAAAATCAATTTCTTTTCCTAAATGTTTGTTGCTGTAAATGGAATGAAGAAATTAAAATATAAAAATAAAAAGTTAAATTTTATTAATTTCATGAACATTAATAAATATGGGGTTAGAACATTATATTTCGAATAAAGTTTTTGCGCCTTAACTGAAGAAAAATTATACTTTTATAAAAAAATAAATGTTTTATATCTGGCGAACGAAATGAAAAAGAAATGAAAAAAATTATGTTACAATAATTATTATTTTCCTTATAAATATGAATGTAAATTAGAGAAGGTAAACAAAAAATATCAGGTTTTTAGTAATTAGAAGATATGTAAAAAAGCATAGACTAATTAGTAAAAATGAAAAAGAAGAGATTGCTTTTTTTTAAATTAGTTTATTAATAATTTTTTTATATTCATGAAAAATGAGAAGGTCTTAAATTTGTCCGATTTTAAGGAATGTTTAATTTTGGTAAATCTTAACGTCTGTAGATACGAAAAGTGTAGTAAATTTTTCTCAATCGATTTGGAATTTTGCATACTTTATTAGTTCATAAAAATGAAGTCTCAGTTCTTTTAATAGACCATTTCGTCATAAATTAAAAATATAAAAAGTTTTGAAATTTTCAACACATTGCATTTTTAACAATATTAAAAAAAATTTTCCTTCAATTTCATTCTGAAATTTATTAAAAAAATACACCCCTTCTGTTTCACACAAGAAAATTGGTTTTTTAATGACACTCATCAGTATATGCTAAAATCAGTCAGAAAACGGAATACTAAAGAAACAACTAAATTTAATATGAAAATGTGAAAAAATTATTTTAATTTATTTGGATTGATTTAATTTCATTTATAATTAAACAATTAATAATAAAAAATATTAAATAAAAAATTATTTGAAAGTAGCCTATGTCGAAAAAATTAATTTTATAAATTTTATTCACTAAATGAAAGAAAAGAGAAATCAATAAAATGAATGAAATTTAACCGCATATAAAATACCTATGTATGAATAATTATTAATTTTCATAGCAATTTTTTCTTTTTCTCTTTATCAATATGAAAGACAAGCAATTAAAATTTGCATTATGTTAATTTTAACGATTTTACCAAATGTAAATAACTTTTTTTTAGAGAAAAATGAATATTTACAATTCTTGGATGGGGTTTTAATATTTTCAATTATTCGAACCCTGGCGGATTTAGGTTTCATTGAGAAAAATTGCTCTTTTTGATTTAAGAGATATTACTAGAAACAAGACAATAACAAATCACATCTTTTACTTTAAAAAAAAAACTTTCTTAACTAACAATGTTGTCCAAAATTAGAAATTTGGCAAAACTTCTTCCATTATTAAAATAAATGAATTTATTCACCGAAATATTATTCAAAGCTAAAGAATCAGTATTTTACTTAGAAAATAAATTTGAATAAAAATTGTTTAAGGGGACTTTCTGGTTTAGAATTGACAAAAAAAGGAAGGTTTTAAAACTTTTATTGTAAGAACAGTATTAAAGAAATTGTAAAAACTATTTTTGGACATTGTAGCACATTGCATAGAGAAAATTTAAAAAATATGTTTGAGTGTATTTAGTTCAATTTCATAGCTGCAGGTGGCGTCTTCCAAAAGATACCTTTTTTTTGGTACGTTAGATTCCGGGCAACCTGTAATACATAAATTCAAGTTCCAAACGGGAATCTCTTCATAAGGATTTATTCTTGTGCCTAAACCTCAAAAACGATTTTTTTTAAAGGTTTTTTTATTTTATATGTACATTTTTCTCAAAAACTCGCAAAAACGCCGTGTTTTTGGGTCAATTTACCTCCATATAAAAACACAGGCGGTAGAAATATGAGTTTTTAGAGGTTTAGGCACCAGTTTTTTAAATAAAGAATCGAAAAATTTTTGGGATTTCAAAATCGGTTCGGTAGATTTCGAGAAAAGCTCTGTACCAGTTTGAAAAATGAGTTTTCGAGAAAAACGCGTTTAAAGTTTTCATAACATAATTCATTGAGCCATGAATATCAAACAACTTTTTATTACAACAGAACTTCGTATCCCACTGTTTTTGGGGTCGCTGATTACGAATTTGATGTCCGTTTTGGAAAATCCAAAATGGCGGATCCAATATGGCGGACGAAAAAATAAAAATTCAACCGGATTTGCTTAAAACTTGCTACTCGGGGGTTTTTGGGGTCGCTGATTACGAATTTGATGTTAGTTTTTGAAAATACAAAATGGCGGATCCAATATGGCGGACGAAAAAATAAAAATTCAACCGGATTTTCTTAAAACTTGTTACTCGGGGGTTTTGAACATATGCAATTCATTCAACAATATCTGCTTTTGGCAGCCCGCAATAGCATATCTTTAGATTCTATAGCATTTTTTTTCAGTGTATATGTATTTAAAACGTTCCTAGAACGTTAATGTTTTGTGCCTATATTCATAACTAGCAATCTCAAAAGGCCACAAGTAACCATTTTCAACTAAATTTAATTAATTTCTTAATCTTTGTCCGCCATATTAGATCCGCAATTTTGTATTTTCAAAAACTGACATCAAATTCGTAATCAGCGACCCCAAAAACCCCCGAGTAACAAGTTTTAAGCAAATCCGGTTGAATTTTTATTTTTTCGTCCGCCATATTGGATCCGCCATTTTGTATTTTCAAAAACTGACATCAAATTCGTAATCAGCGACCCCAAAAACCCTCGAGTAACATGTTTCAAGCTAATATTAATAAAAGAGGAACACCAAATATGTAAATAAGATAACTGTAGATTGTTGTTGAAATACATACCGTCATAAATATTGTTATAACTTTTGTTTTTGTACATATTTTTTAAAAATCGTTTTGGGACAGTAATTCTATGATACTAAGGAACATTTTTAAGCAAAAAAAAGAAAATCAATTTTTTTGAAATTCTAAACCAGAAAGTCCCCTTAAACGATCTTACGTGAAAAATAAATAACCCTCACAATTAATTCTGATTGAAAATCAAACATTCATCATAGATTTTTTATTTGAAAAAGCTCGGTATTCTATAATAATTTGTAGTTAGGAAATAAATATTTATCTAATTTATTCAAAAACATTATTATGATCAAAATATTTAGTAAATTTCTATAGTTATAATTGAATAATAAACATTACCCAAAATCATATGTTTTTTTTAAGAAAAACTACTAATAAATGTAAACAACAAATTGTTGTTGAAAAATAATGAAAATGTAAGTGTAATCCTTGTTGTTTTTGCATGGGTCCAAAATAACTTGAAAATTTCAGATCATAGACATATATATATGGGGCATTCTCTGTAAAACGGACACCCCCCTCTGCCCAAAATGGGTTTAAAAATAAAAGAACATTCTTTTTGAAAAATTACAGCTTAGAATATGTGGTTACTTTTGCCGTCTGGCCTTTTTTAATTTAAATTATTTATATGACAATATAGCGTTATAAATAAATAAATGCTAACAAACAAAGTGAATAGTTTGTTACAAAAATTTCAAATTTGTTCAGATTCGCTTAAAACTTATGTTACTCTGGGGTTTTTGGGATCGCTGATTACAAATCGGAAGTAATTTTTAAAAAATTCAAAATGGCGGATCCAATAAGTCACACAAAATTCAAATTTGATCAGATTCGTCTAGAACTTGCTACTCGGGGGTTTTTAGGGTCTCTGATTACGAATCTGATGTCACTTTTTAAAAATCAAATATGACGGACAAATTTTTTAAATTTGATGCGATGAAGTGCAGTTTTCATGTAACCAAAATTGTTAAATACTGCATTGAATCCAATTTTCAATCTATGACTTTTGGTTTTAACTTTGGTTGTAACTTTTGGCAAAACCTACAAATAGATCTCCATCTTTGGTGTCAAATAGATCAATTATTTTGTTCTCAGACATTTTTAATTTGTTTTTATTTAATATTTAAGTATCTAACATGAACATAAAAAATTTTAAATGAAAGTAATTAATGGCTACCTCACCCAATCATACACGGTAAAAGTAAGCACCAAAATATTAAATAAATAAAATAATTTTTTCTTTAATTTTTTGTTTATATAAAAGCGTGAGTTATGCGTCCACTTTAAAAGTGGACATAAAGGAAACTAAAATCCGCCAGGGAAAAAATTGAAAATCTCCCATTCTAATTAATATTCTTTAAATCTGTAAATTTTTTAACCTTCCTTGGTTCAAAGTTTAATAATTTGTCAAATTTTGTTTCAAACGATTTAACCGTTTTCAAGTGATGCGCGAACAAAGAATTTGTGACATACATTCATATATAGACGAAATTTTTTAATGTTATATTTGGATTTCTTTTTAATGCTTAAAACAAATAATTATGTGCGAAATTTACAGTTCTGAGCAGTGTACAGACAAAACTCTGATTTCATATATATAATGTTCTGACCCTATGAAAATCTAGCTTTCAATTCAAGTAGAGTGAGGTGAAAAGACCAAGGTATAAAAAAATCATTTCATTTTTTTACAAAAACTATTCCACTTTGCATGTTGTATATATAATAATACAGTTTTTAATGGAATTTTAATTTTTCAGTTACTCTGCGCAAAACATTTTGAAAAATTTTTCAAACATATTACAATGTGTTTAAATGAATGGATAATAAAAATAAATATTTGTGAGGCATTCCATTTTAAACCGTTCCACCAACAAAAAACAATCGCAAGGAAAGAGATTTTCTAATAAATTTTATTATATAAAAATTTGATTATTTATAATATGTTATAAACTGATTCGAAACAGAATTTCGTAAACTTTCTATTTCTATTTTTAATTTTTTTTAAATTTCTCTCCATTTCGTAAAGAAATTCCTGTTTGACATGTTAAACTCTTAATAATAAATAATAATAGAAATAACTCTTAATAATTCTAACCCTTTCAACTTCGTAGCATTTGTCAAAATTTTCAAAAACACATATTTTAAACAATTTTTTTTTGCTATTGATCCTATTAAATGTCTATAATATATCATACGGGAATGGAAACTAGAAAAATTATGTTTTATTTTCATATAATGTTCATAAAAATCAACAGGGGGGAGGCGTGTTTTGAGATATTAAGAGTTTAACATTACAAACAGGAATTTCTAGGAATTTCTCTACGAAATTGAGAGAAATTTAAAAAATAGAAATATAAAATTTGTGAAATTCTGTTTCGAATCAGTATATAATATATTATAAATAATCAAAGTTTTATATAATAAAATTTATTAGAAAATCTCTCTTTTTGCGATTGTTTTTTGTTGGTGGAACGGTTTAAAATGAAATGCCTTTTGTACATAATGAAAAAATTGTACTCAAAATGTATACAATGTTCATTTTCAGAAATTGAACTAAATTTAAAATTTCTTATAGCTTTTAGAATAACTGGTCTTGAGGGTAAAAAATTCAGGGACAAAAATGTATTAAATATTTTGTTAAATTCATTTGCTTTTTATTTATAATTAACATTCTCAATTTACTTTAATAAAATTAACGAAACACGAAGAAAAAATAATTTAAAGTTTATTAAAAAAATAAACAACGAATAAATGGTTGCAACGGAATTGCAACGGCATGTGAAACTGCAGGAGGACTTTCAAGAAAGGTACAAAAAATTGGCTGTGTTAGTGGAAAGCAGGGAGACTTAACATAATATTTAATTTTGCTTCATAAAAACTCTTTCAAATTTATTGAAAAAATTCAAGAACAAGATTATTTGTCATAATAAAAAAGGCACTTGCAGTGCTTTCGTACAACTCTTATAACTTAGTGCTTTCATGTGATAAATCATACTTCCGTCAAGAATTCTCAAGTTTAATAACTACATTAAATTTTCTGTCTTAATTGAAAATTTGAGAAAAAAAATATTAAATTCATATTTTATGTTGTGTCGAATGTAGGACTTTAGTTTTTTGACCTACTCTACTTGAAGTATATAATAAAAAAAATTTATTATAATAAATTACTAACAACTCCATTTTTTTAATTACTGTTCGCCACAAAGAATTATTTTCAGCCTCCTTTTCTATCAATTTTTTCCACAATCTTTCAGTGGATATGACTTTGTACCATTCGGTATTTACATGTTGTATGTTGTTGAGTAAGGGGGCATCGAAATTTTTAAAAATCTTTGCTACGATGCAACCTTGTCCGCGTTCTGTAAATAGTTATTTTCATATTAAGGTTAAATAAATAAGTAAAAACTTATTTTCAAGTAGAGGGGGGGGGCGTAAAATACGTTCTTTACATATATGTATAAAAAAGCAGGTACTTTATGTGAAAAAATAAAGTAACAAAACATTATTTACTTTATTATATTATTATTATTTATTATTTATTATATTATTTACTTTATTTCCCCCCTATACCCGGGCGGGAATGAGTTACTTTGCGCCTGCTCTAAGTGCTCGAAATGACATACTTTCCGTGCAGGTATGACAAAAAATTGTTTAATTTTACATAAATAAATAATTAATTTGATTGTCAATTTCTTTTACAGAAATTTATATTTTCATTTTTATAGAAAATACTATTTATTATCATTATTATTTTTATTATTATTAATAATAATAGTAATAATAATAATAATAATGATGATAATATTTCAATTATTTGAATGTTAATTACACTGGAATGAAAAAATAAATTTATATGCTTATGTTTTTGTGGTTGATGAAGTTGAATCTGAAATCTCTTTAACCCCATCTTACTAATGATTTTTGGTTAAAATAGAAAATAATGAAAAATTTGAACAAATAATTTTTAAATCAAGAAAACATCTTATTCCAAGTTCACTTAAACCAATGAGGTTTACTTGTTGTCTGAAATTTTCGAACATGATGGATTTTTTTATAATATCTGAAAACCACGGAGTGATAGAGTTTAATAAACTTCAGATTCAGTTTCAGTAACCTCAAAAATAAAAAGCACCCATACCTAGTACAATTTAAAAATAAAATTTTTTGAATTTTTCCCACGTTATCTGAAAACTATGGCGTGATAGGGTTTAACAGACTCCAAATTTGTTTTTATCAACCTCAAAAACATAAAATTGTTATAGTCTGAGTTAAAGGGTAGAGCACCATTTTTTTTGCATCAGTGTTATTTAGTAATCTAAATAAAAAATAATAATCATTGCATTTCGTAACATGAAATATAAATTTTACTTTTCATTTTAGAAAATAAAATTAAAAAAAAAAGAAAAATTTTTTCATTTTTAATTATAAAAAGTTTAAAATGGAGAAAAGTGACCAAGAAAAGTAGAAAAGATGAAAAATCATAAAAAAATTAATAAAATTAAAAAATGAATTATCTGTGATACCTACAATTTAAGTAACATATATAAAAAAACACTTACTTGAAAGCAATGATATAATATCTGCTGATCGATCCCTCTCAAGTTGGTAGTCCGCATATTTTTTAACTTTCTTAAGATCTTCATCATTCATTGTCACCATCATGTTGTAAAGTAATTGTAATTTATCATCATACTCATTACATTTTTGGCAAATTTTGCTGCATTTTATATCTTTCTTTTCACAATTACTAGTTTCTCCTCCAGATATTTCACATATATCTTTAAAATGTGACATTATTACTGAAATGAGGATTGAATCAGCACACTTCAAATAAATTTTTTTTTTAACGGTAAACTAATTTCTATTCATAAAGAACACGTGGTTCAATGTATGAATTGTATATCAAGAAGATAGAAAATTGACATCGAATCTACAGAAGTTACGATTCCTGCGAAAAAAAGAGAATATTATTTAAAATCAAAAGACAGACTAAAATTAAATTTCTTTGATACAGTTCTTTTCAGAATTTTCAAATTCATTTTTTTACAATTCAATTGAACTTAATTTATAAAAGAATTTTTATTACGAAATTCTACGAGAATTCAATTATATTTAAATACAAACACTGATAATATATTGAATAACTAAATATTTCTTAAAATTGAATACGTTTAAATAATTTTATAAATAAATTTTTAAATAATTCAATTCTTTCGAAGAATTTTAATAAAATTTTAACAATAATTACATTATTCTACGAATTCGAATAAAATTGTATTGAAAATAATTGAATTCTTTTTAAGAATACTATTATATATGAATGTTTCCTTTGAATGATTTCATTAATTACGAAAATAATTAAAATTATATTTAATTGTAATTAAACAATTAATTGTAATTTGTTAAAGTGCACACGCTGCACACGGGAAAACTGTATACACTCAAATTTTTAAAATAAAAACATTAAATTAAATTTAAAATGCATACCCTTAAACAGATATCTGGAAAACTGCACATAAACTTATTTTTAATCCATTTAATAGAAATAAATAATTTTCATATTTTTTTAGAAATATTTGTAAATAATAGATTATAATTATTTTCTAATTTAATGAAAATTAAATTATAATTCGATTCAATTGTAACTAAAATATATAATCAAATTAAAATTGTATCTGAATTTTAATCGTAAATAATTAATAAATATATTCTTATTTATACAATAAAAATTAAAAATAATACCTTTTCTAAACGTTGCCAAAAAAACTGCAAAAATCCCACCTCCAGGTAAAAATCAAAATTTTTCCCAGAATAAAAATGTTGAAAATGACGTAATAGGAAAAGGGAACTGGACACTGATAAATTGCTCCACTCGCTGCCAGGATATGAATTCTATGTGAATTTCTGTTCACCATGAAAGTGGAAATCTAAAAAAAATTTAATTGTCAATTTTATATTCCTTACATTATTTCCTTATAATTTTTTAAATATTCCGTTTATTTAAGATATTTTGAAAATTGTATGCAAATAAAACCTTTATCAATGAAAATGTTAAATTTTAATGAAAAAAAAACTTTTATATTGTTAAAAAACAGAATATATTACAGCAAATATAATCAAGGTAACTTTGACTATTTTGCAATGAAATTTATATTTGACAAATAATCTAACCAAACTTTTTTCTCCATTTTATTTACTTATAAAATTATTTTTTACATTTTGGGAAAAGTCAATTTTTATTTTTGTAAACATACTTTTATACAACTATTTATTGGGTCAGAATTCGTGAAATTTTCACAGAAAATAAAAAGTATTTTTTTTAAATCGAAAAGTTATAAAAAATTTATTAAATAATTATTAAAAAATAAAGTTTTTCAAAATTTTCTAATTCTGAACGAAAGTATATTTTATTCCCTTTATATTCCCCCTTGGTTCATTTAAATCGGTTCATTCATTTAGGAGAAATCAAATTTTGTTTAAAAAGTTGCAAAAAAATTAATTTTGCAATAACTTTTATAAAAAATAATTGTTTTTTTTCTGTTTTTCGGTGGACACATTCTGAAGGCCAAATAGAAATGTTTTTTCAACTTTTCGATTAAAAAAAATAAATACTTTTTATTTTCTGTGAAAATTTCACGAATTCTGACCCTATTATACTTTCTTATTTATAATTCAAAATATTATAAATTTTTTTCCAATTTCGTTTTTATAATAAAATATCTCCTGATTGGAGAATTTCAGATATATAGAAGAGTTTGTCTTTTACAGAATAGCTTTCAAGCTCTTTTTTCTAAAAAAATATTGTTCTAAAAAAAAGAAGAAGAAAATGCGTCAATAAATGATTGAAAACACAATTTTAAATATTGACAAAACGTGCAAAAACTTTTTTTAAAAAAAAAGCCAAAACAAATAATAAAAAATTAATTTTTATCGTCAATTATTTTAATTATATTATTAAAATAATTTAGTTGAATAATAACCTTAATTAAAATTATTTCTCTATTATTGTTTTGAAAACTTTCTCAAAATCTATTAAACCAATTAATATTATTTTCTTTAAATTAAAATTAAAATTTTAAATCAATTTTTTAAAAATTTTCTTTGCATTAAATTAAAACACAAAATAAACATTTTCAATTTGATTATTACCATTTTTTATTGAATACAGGGATGTAAATATGCGTATTTTAATTTTTATTCTTTGGTTTAATTATTATTATTTTTATTATTATTTGAATAACAATCACAATTAAAATTGTTCATTTATTATTTTTGAAAATTTCCACAAAATGTTATAAAAATCATTTATTTTATTTTCTTTGAAACGTTTAAAACACAAAAAACATTTTCAATTTGAGGTTATGTTGAACCTCAATGCATTTGTTGAAAAAAATAAAATTTCTTTTTTACTTTCATGTAAATATGTTCGAAAAAAGATAATTATCAATTATTATTAAACAATTTTGTAAATATGTAAAGCGAATATTCAAGATAAAATATTCGGTGATGCATATTTTATTACACCAGGTGTTGATCGACATGTGACAAAGAATTCTTACCTGTTAACGCAATCTACAAATATCAACTGAATTTGTAAGAATCGAAACATGAAATTGTATACTAACCAAATAAAAAGTTAAACAATAACTAACTTTGTAAAATAAAACATTTCTTCGACTGATTTTTTGAGCAAAAATTATTGACGACGCGACGTACGTGACAAGCACAGGAAGGATCCTATCTAAATCCTATCCTATCTAAAACAAGTATGAGCGAGAAGTCTCGAATTGAACAATTTCGACTCTCGAAATAGATCGAATGGTCGAATTAACTTAGGCTGCGGTTACACCTCTGCAGTCTGCAGGCAGCCTGCCTGCCTGCAGGTTGTCATGGTAACGTACAAGAGTAAGAGAGTCAGTGACTTCAAACTTCTCCCTCACTCTCGTTGCTCCTGCCTGCGCAGGCAGGCAGCCTGCAGAGGTGTAACCGCAGCTTTATAGCATTGAACGACATAGGTAATAAAGTCCAACGCACAATAGGTTCGCGAAAGTTGTTCGCGAACAAGACGCATGAGATAGACAAGGACACAAATATATCTCTGTCCTTTTCTAACTCATGCTTTGCGTTCGCGAACGACTTTCGCGAACCTATTGTGCTTAAGCCTTTACACAAAGACTCATGGTGCAACCGTAGAGATAATATAAATAGAGGGGGTGCGACTGTCTGTACCAAAAACATAAGTACCGAATGCTCATTATGCCGAATGCATAATTTAGAAATGACTAGATATGCGAATCCTCAATAAAGTAAATTATATATTGAATGAAATTCAAAAGTTGAAAATAATCATTTGATATATTCTGCATAATGAAGAATATTAATTTACACTAATTCTTTTTTTCAAAAATTTGAAATTATTCTAATTTTTATGTTTGGAATTTCCACTTTACCTACATTTTATTAATTTGAATTCTAATTTAGTAGAATATTTAATTGTCCGAATTATAATTTGGCAGAATGTCCATTAGATCGATTTTATATTTGCAAGAAATTTAATTTGACCGAATATCAATTTGTAAGAAACACTTTTTTGTAGAATTTTAATTTATCAGAATTGTAATTTCATAGAATATTAATATTGCGAAATCTAATTTTGTTAGAAATCTTCTTTATCACAATGATCAATATTCGAATCCTCAAAACTTTTAATTCTATTTTTTCATAAAATGGAAGCAACGTAAATATTTGGCGCAATTTTTAAAATTGACCAATCAGAAATCAGAATTTTAAAAATTGCGCCAAATATTTACGTTGCTTCCATTTTATGAAAAAATAGAATTAGAAGTTTTGAGGAATATTGATCATTGTGATAAAGAAGATTTCTAACAAAATTAGATTTCGCAATATTAATATTCTATGAAATTACAATTCTGATAAATTAAAATTCTACAAAAAAGTGTTTCTTACAAATTGATATTCGGTCAAATTAAATTTCTTGCAAATATAAAATCGATCTAATGGACATTCTGCCAAATTATAATTCGGACAATTAAATATTCTTCTAAATTAGAATTCAAATTAATAAAATGTAGGTAAAGTAGAAATTCCAAACATAAAAATTAGAATAATTTCAAATTTTTGAGAAAGAGAATTAGTGTAAACTAATATTCTTCATTATGCAGAATATATCAAATGATTATTTTCAACTTTTGAATTTCATTCAATATATAATTTACTTTATTGAGGATTCGCATATCTAGTCATTTCTAAATTATGCATTCGGCATAATGAGCATTCGGTACTTATGTTTTTGGTACAGACAGTCGCACCCCCTCTATTTATATTATCTCTACGGTTGCACCATGGAGAATAGACTACAGGAGACCAATCTAATGTATTTCAAAGCAAGCACTTTTGCGTCTGAAGTTCAAGGTTCGAAAACTTCTCGATAGAGCGCGTCTGTATCGGTCGTGTAAGTTGTTTGAAAATATCTGTCTGCTAGGCTCGTGATATTTATAGGTTATGGTTACTATTACTTTCTAGTCACGTGGTGTTTAGTGCATTTGTTGTTTAATGTTTATTAATTATTGTCCGATTTTTACATGAGTCCACTTTGCAAATATCACACAGGAGTTTACTAAAAATGCATGGCTCGTGTGACTTTTGCTACGGCACCATGCGAAAATAGGATGGATTCCGAGCAAAATTTTTTCCGTGTATGAATATATGTTTGTTATATGCAAAAAGTCATGAACTATTTTTCATATTAATTTTTTATTGTATTCTGAGTTACATAAATTGGAGAAAATAAATTAATTTCAACTAAAAATATTCATCGTATACTTTTTGAATTTTTCAAAAATAATTAAAAATCTCAAAACATAATAATAATAGTAACCATAATCTATAAATATCACGAGCCTAGCAGACAGATATTTTCAAACAACTTACACGACCGATACAGACGCGCTCTATCGAGAAGTTTTTGCACTTCGAACTTTAGACGCAAATATGTTTAGTTACGAGAAGTACACACACAATAGTTTGGTCTCCTGTAGTCTATACTCCATGGTCACACTGCTGGAAAAATGTCCTTTCCGCTTCCGGTAAGATATTGCAATTATTTTTGTATACTTTTTAATTTCTATATATTTGTATATTCGTATGAGAATTATTTGACGAGAAAAAATAATCATATTTCATTAAATTTTGTCAAATATATGTTGACATTCTGTACTGTTGCCAAAAAGTTTTCTTTGTTTCCATCATAACTATAAATCAGGCCTGCTATAAATGATAATTGATTGTACGAAATTTTTATTATTTGTTATAAAATAAAACATATATTTTATTATCTTACTGAAATATATTTTATTTTTTTTTAATTTTTCTTATATTCATTAGTGAAAATTATTTTTTTCATTTGACTAATAGGGTTCGTAGAACTGTCTGCTAGCCAACTTCCTGCGTCCAACGTTCACTTTCACATCGAGCTGCAGTTTTTTTTCCAAATTTGGTAAGATCCTTATTAATTTTTTTGGTATATTTTTTCAATTTCCTGATTATATATTTTAAAAAAATCATAATTCATTAAATCTGGTCGTAAATATATGGACATGACCATTAATTGTCTACATGTCGACCACTATGTCGCGTCGTCGATAATTTTTGCTCAAAAATCAGTCGAAGAAATGTTTTATTTTACAAAATTAGTTATTGTTTAACTTTTTATGTGGTTAGTACAAAATTTCATGTTTCGATTCTTACAAATTCAGTTGATATTTGTAGATTGCGTTATCAGGTAAGAATTCTTTGTCAAATGTCGATCAACATCTGGTGCAATAAAATATGCATCAACGAATATTTTATCTTGAATATTCGCTTTACATATTTACAAAATTGTTTAATATTACATGATAATTATCTTTTTTCGAACATATTTACATGAAAGTAATAAAGAAATTTCATTTTTTTCGACAAATGCATTGAGGTTCAACATAACCTCAAATTGAAAATGTTTATTTTGTGTTCTAATTTAATTTAAAGAAAAAAATATTAATTGGTTTAATAATAGATTTTGAGAAAGTTTTCGAAACAATAATAGAGAAATAATTTTAATTAAGATTATAATTCAACTAAATTATTTTAACAATATAATTAAAAAAATTGACGATAAAAATTAATTTTTTATTATTTGTTTTGAATTTTTTTTATAAAAAAAAGGTTTTGCACGTTTTGTCTATATTTATAATTGTGTTTTCAATCATTTATTGACGCATTTTCTTCTTCTTTTTTTAGAAAAAAATCGAATTATAATTTAATTATGTATCATTAAATTAGAAAATAATTATAATCTATTATTTACAAATATTTCTAAAAAAATATCAAAATTACAAATTTTTTTTCTTTTCCATACCTTTTTCCTCAAGAATTTTCTTCAAAATTTCTTTTCTTTAAAAAATATTTCATAAAAAAAAAACATAAAAGTGTATTTTTTCACTTTTAAATGTAGTAGAAAATTAAGTAGACCACAAATGGGGACATTTACCTTACACGCAAATTTATAAAATAAAACCATTAAATTAAATTTAAAAACTGTATACTGTTAAACTGAACACCGGAAAACTGCACACCATTAAAAATTACAAATTTTAATAAAGAAATAAAATTAATTTCAACTGTATACAGATAAACTGTCTACAAGAAAACTGTACACAAACTTATTTCTATTAAATGCATTAAAAAGAGGTTTTTGTGCAGTTTTCCTGATATCTGTTTAACGGTATGCATTTTAAATTTAATTGAATGATTTTATTTTATAAATTTGCGTGTATACAGTTTTCCCGTGTGCAGCGTGTGCACTTTAACAAATTACAATTAATTGTTTAATTACAATTAAATATAATTTTAATTATTTTCGTAATTAATGAAATCATTCAAAGGAAACATTCATAAATAATAGTATTCTTAAGAAGAATTCAATTATTTTCAATACAATTTTATTCGAATTGGTAGAATAATGTAATTATTGTTAAAATTTTATTAAAATTCTTTGAAAGAATTGAATTATTAAAAAATTTATTGATAAAATTATTTAAACGTATTCAATTTTAAAAAATATTTAGTTATTCAATATATTATCAGTGTTTGTATTTAAATATAATTGAATTCTCGTAGAATTTCGTAATAAAAATTCTTTTATAAATTAAGTTCAATTGAATTGTAAAAAAATGAATTTGAAAATTCTGAAAAGAACTGTATCAAAGAAATTTAATTTTAGTCTGTCTTTTGACTTTAAATAATATTCTCTTTTTTTCGCAGGAACCACGTGTTTTTTATGAACAGAAAAATTAGTTTACCGTAGAAAAAATCTATTTGAAGTTTGTCGATTCAATTTTTCAAAATGGACTTTGGATATGTTTCTGATGATGAAGAAGAGGTAAGAAATCGTGAACCGCAAACCAGAATGTCTCCCATTTACCCTTCAACATCGCAGGAAATTAAAATTTTAACAACAAAAGAAGTTAAGAATGTAATTAAACCGAATGAAAGGAAAAGAATATACAATGCATCTGAAAATGTTGTTAAATATCATTATCAAAGGAATAATGAAGAATATGAAATAAAAAATATCGCTAAAAGTTTCTATTGGAATCCAAGATTACTTGAAAAAAAAATTAAACAGAAAAAGCATGATAGCTCAATAAGATTAGATTTGTATGAAAGAGGATTCCAATTATATCAAAGTGATAATTTTTCAATTTTTGAAAATGTCGGTGAATTTTCGAAGAACTACACAAAATTACCGCCTACTTTGGTGAATTTGTGTTTCAATTGTAAAGAGTACGGGCACTTAAAGAGTAATTGTAAAAATGAATTCTTTAAAGTATTATACTGTTTTACTTGTGGTCTAAAAGGCCACAAGACACACGAATGTAATTCACCAAAGAATTCAAATGACAACAATTTCTGTAATTGGAAAGAAATCAATATTAATGAAACAGTTCAAGAGCTAACAAATAGAAAATATCCGGAAAGAGAAGTAAATTTTGGTGAAATTAATAATTTCATTGACGATGGATATGCCCCACACTGTGATAAATTCCAAAGAAACATTGAATATGAAGAAGAGGTACTGAAATATGGAGGCAATATTTACACAAAACAAAGCTTTGAAGAAATAAAATTCAGAAAGGAAAAGGAATTGTACAGCAACCGAACTGAGAAAGATTTTAAGAATGTTTATGGATACACCGAAAAAGAAGAATTTAATAAAAATATCGTGCACGAGAGACACAGAAGATGTTTTAATTGTAAATTATTTGGACATTACAGGAAACAATGTTCATTAAAACAAGTGAGGAAATACTGTTACAGATGTGGTAAAGATAATATGACTCGAAAGAATTGCACAAATTGTAACAAGAAAGGAGAAAGTGAAATACCAATCACTATTCATAATTGAGATATGAAGGTAATTAAAAGAATATTATAAACTATTTTATTTATTACATATCATCAATTATTTTATTTATAATTCCATTAATTATTTTGGTAAACAAAAAATTAAATTTAAATTCAAATCCCATCAAAAAATTTAAATCGAAATAAATAAATTACATCTAAATTATAATAATTATAATTGTAAAACATTATATTAAACAACTTATTTTTAGCTATTTAAATCATTGACTTTTTTAATTCTAATGGAAAAATAATGTAACTTAAAATAATAAAAAACTGTTTCTTTTTCCAGTTGGTGGTGCATTGGATTTTAAAAGGAGTTTTTAAACAAATGGAAGCATTTCGTGAAAGTTTTGAATCTGTCTTTCCGGTTGGATATTAAAGAATTCGAGTCAGTCTTCTACGGTCATGTGCAAAATAGAGGACAACGAGGTGTGAGATTTTTTAAAGTAAAACAAACCTACAACTTTAAAAAATATCTTTCAAATTAATGAGTAAATTATCACCAGACACAAATTGTCTAATTTCATCAAAACTTAAAATCGAATTATGAGTTTTCACTTTATAATCTAACTGTAAGAAACGATGCTTACTTACAAAAATTAATCATTTTTCTTTAATGTCAAGAAATATAGGATTGAACTTTATAATTTAACTTTCATCTCAAGGATCACATTTTGATTCGGTGTACTTGATTTTCCTGTATCATTTGTTTTCGAATTTGCAGCTCAACGTCTCTTTGCATTTCGATTATTATTTAGATAATTTTCGATTTATTATTTTTTATTATTATTATTTAAATTTTCATAAATAAATGTTGCAATAATAAATAATAAAATTGTTATAACTAGCTTCTTAGTTTAGAAAAATTGTAACAATGTTTTGATACTACTGTTACTATGCATTTCATTTATAATAAATTGAAATTGAAATAACTTGTTATTTTACCTTTCAAGTGATGAATTTTAAATAAATAAACTTTACCTTCTCATGCGAGATGGGAGAATACTAAACGAATCGATGAACAGTTTGAAAGTAAAACTAAAGAAAATTCCATATAAACAGAAAAGAAATGAATAATAAAAAATATTCTAATGGACAAAATTGAAAATACGATGCTATTATCTTATGCATTGGTTAAAATTTTATTCCTCATCTAAATTTGCGTTACACAAGAAAGGGTGAAGTGCATTAAAATGTTATTTATTTCACTCTGCGCGAAACTAAACATTTTAATAAGAGTCCTCGAAAGACCTTCAAGCGTTGAGGAATAACAGCTATACATTACTTTGTAAATAGAAGTTTCTTTCAAAATCGCTTTCAAAATTTTTTGTTTCAAGAAACTTAAAATAATCATTTCATTTAGGAGGAATATAAAAAAATAAATAAGAAATAAAAATAAATACAAAAATTGAAATAAAAAGCAAAATAAAGCAAAAAAGAAAAAAATTTTAAAAAGAAATAAAAAAAACAAAATAAAAATTAACAAATAAAAAAAATAAGAATAAATAAATAAAGAGAGAAAATATAATGTGCGATAATGAATACTTTTAACAGGGGTTCTACCAACTGAGTTTTTTAAATAATTTAATTTTTGAAAAACTATCGAAAATTATTTTTATGAATTATTTTAGAATAATTTTTTATTTAAAAAATTTTTAAAAAAATTCTTTGAAAAATTTATAAAAAGTGACAAGGATAGTTTAACAGTTCTATTAATAAATTCATTAGGGATTAAAAAAACGGGTACCTACACATGTGTAATCACAAAAAATATTTTAAATCTTTAAAAAACAGAAAATTTAGTGCAAAAATTATGATTATAAAATAAAAATTATGTCTATTTTTTCATTTATGTAAGAAAAACGAATTACGTTAAAAATCGAAATTTACCAAATTTATCCACTACTTTACCAACTTTACACAAACTTTTACATTTGTGCTTTCAAAAAATGAATAAATTAAAGTTTTTTTTAAGTGTAACTTTAGATTTTCTTTACGAATGATTTAATTACTTATTACGATAAATTCCTGTTGTAAAACATACAAATTAAAAATATTTCTGACCAAAAATGTTGACTGCTGTGCTCACTTTGCACAAAGTTTCATTTCTGAGCCTTTAATAATAAATTAATTTCTGATTTTTACACCTCTAACTTCAGTTTTTCTTTACAAATAATTCAATTAAGTGTTACGGTATTCTTAAAGCGTATGATATAAACTTAAAAAATTGTATTAAAAGTAGTGGAAATATATTCAATTTATAGAATTTGTAGGAAAATTCTGAATTTTGGTGTATGTTTTCTTTGACCCACAAAGTATGAATTCATACCACTAAAACTATTACCAAACCTTAACTTTTTTCTATTTCTGGAAACAATTTCTTTTTATATAACTTATATTTCTTGAAGAACTATGTCATAAAAATTATTACTTTTAAATCATTCAAGGAATAATTTTATTTATGTAGTTTAAAATTAATTGAATTTTAAAAGAGAAGCGTTTACAATCACTTTTTTTCTGTAATACCAAAAGATGAAAAATTATATAATATATGGAAATTATTTATTTTTTCTTGAATATTTCAAATATGTAATAAAAAATAACGTTAATAGAGCGAAAAAATTAAATAAATTGAAATTTCTTCTAAAATGTGACTTTTCTCAAAAGCGAAGTAATTGATTTTAGATTTTTTTCTTTTATTACAACCGCTGATAAATAAAGAAATTTTTTCCACTTATGCCAAAGTGGTGTTCTTTAGGGTTCAAATAATATTTAAAATTATATCAGTAGTTGCACAGATTTTAGAGAAAGAAATTGAGAAATTAACCACAAAATATTTATTTTCTTTTGTTTTTAAAGGTTAATTTATTAAGAAGTGAAAAAATCGAATAAAATTATGTGCAACGACATATATATTTTTAAGTATTATTTGAACCCTCATAAAGAACACCACTTTGGGCCTTTGGCATAAATGGGAAAAATTTCTTTATTTATCAGTGGTTGTAATGAATGAAAAATATCGAAAATTTTCGAAATTTTTAATAAAATTTTTGTCAAAATTTCAATTCTTTTCCAATCTTTTCCTCAGTTTTATATGAATTTTATTATTTACAAATATTTATAAATTTCTTTTCAATAATTTAATTAATTTAATAAAAAATCAATTTTTTACAGGAATTGAATTAGGGGAGGGTGGGGCAAGACGGGGTACCGGCCTTATTTAACAAACGAATTAACCAATCACGATTATATTTTACATAATACTGCACCGAGACGATAGTATCTTGTTTATAAAACCTAAAAGTCATGAGAACAAATCTTTTATCTGTTTTCCTAAAAAAAACTGTTTTCGACGATTTTCTTTTCATTTTTTCACATTTTTTAGGAGGTGTTTATTATTTAATAATAACAGTTAATGGACTGCATAAATTTTTTTCTAACTGTAAAGGGTTACAGGAAAAAGGAAGCATATGTTTTTTTTCTTTGTTGAATCGTAAATAGTAGTAATTAATCTTTTTCTTCAATTTCGTAGGTGGGGGCAAGATGGGGTAGGAGAGGGTGGGGCAAGACGGGGTTCACAAATTAAGCAAAAAAAAAGAGAAATAAGAGAAGTTAAGAAAACTACTAAAATCAAGACTGAATAAAATAAGAGTGACCAAAAAGAAAAAAGCTTGTCAGGTTAAATCATCAATTAGCGATGGTAAAGTGGAAAATACACCTTGTCTCTATTGTAATGGTTATTATTTAGACTCAAATGAAGGCTGGGCTGCTTTTTTTGTCTGCGGCCAATGGGCTCACTGCAGTTATGCATGAAGATGAAGATGCAACCTTCACCTGTAAAATTTGTCGACAAAAATAGGTTGTTTCTTTTAGTACCCCATCTTGCCCCCTGGTGGGGCAAGATGGGGTGATTTGCAATTTTTTCTATATTATTAATTATAAGCTATTTAAGAATCAGATGACCTTTGTACGGCTTTTTTACGATAGACTGATTCCCAAAGATGATTAAAAAAAATAATAATAAACTATATATTACATAATTTTCGTTTTTTTGCGCTTTAAACCTTAAGTACCCCGTCTTGCCCCACCCTCCCTTATTTACATAAATAATAAAACTCTTTTTAGGAATTAAATTATTTTCATAAATAAAACTCATCACAAATTTTCAATTATTTTTAAATACAATTTTAATCAAATTTCTCGAAAAATGTAATTGTTCTTAAAAATTTGATTAAAAATCGTCAAAATAAAACAATTATTTAAAAATGTTTTAATAAAATTCTTTATGAGAAATTAAGTTTAAGAAACATTTAATTATTCAAAAAAATGTTTATTTTCGCATTTAAATTATTGAATTCTAGTAGAATTTTCTTATAAAAATATTTTGCAGGATTTACATTTGTTAATTATCTGAAATGTTTGTTACAAAATGCTATTTTTTTTTATAAACAAAGGAAATAATAAATAATAACATTGATAATTTTTTTAGATTATTAAAAATAATTAAAATAAATAAAATAATATTAAATTAAAAAAATAGTATAAAAATAATAAAGTATAATAATAAAAGAAAATAAATGATAGTCTCGTAACTATAATGAAAACACAACGCGATGACAAATCTGTCGAATTTCTAAAGCCAATGAAAAAACAAAAGCATAATCGTGACTAACTTCAGGTGTGGACAGACTGGACAGAATGAATACGACGATTATTATTATAGTTAACTAGCATAAATAACGCGCGCTAAAGCGCGCGTGATGTTTCTTTTTTTTAATTGACATTGGAAAATTCAATTATTTACAAAAATTCTACACAAAATATACTTAAATATATAAAAATAAAAAAATATTATTAAATTAAGAAAATAGTGAAAAAATAAAGAAGTATAATATTATCTATCCAACCATTAAAAAAACAAAAGCATATAATCATGACTAAATTCAGGTGTGGACAGACTGGACAGAATAAATGAATGAATACGACGATTATTATAGTTAATAATAATAATTGCGGCTGCCAATGCTCTGAATTGTTGCTTGGGTGTTGCTGAAAGCTGAACAACATTCTGATTGATATAGGGGCAAATCTCTGGATACTTTAACATTTGAATTTTAATTTTCTAAAAAAAAATTTTGTGTGCACAATTTTGATATTTTTGGTACTACATCTTCGACCAAAATAAATTTCATTTTTATTACTGTACAACCATTATTTGGTTGCCTTCTATTTTAAAATATAAATTATTGAAAAGAAAATCATTATTATTAGGTTATCTAAATCTGTAACAAAATATACATAAACATTTTATTTTCTACACTAAAGTAAGTTATTTCTCAGTATCACAAAAACATAATTAAACATGAAAATAAATATAATAAACGTCTAATACAACTAATAAGGATAAAATTACAATAAAAAAAATTAATGAAAATTTTTTACGTATAATTATTTGAATTAGTAACATGAACTTTTCTAATTATTTGATTGGCTGAATTGTTTTGAAAAATATCAAGGATCTTAATACACTGAAAAAAAAAAAGTATTGAACCAAGAAAATTTTTCTTGGTTCAAGCAAATCGTGGGATTGAATACGGCCAAGACTATTAAAGTATTGATTCAAGAAAACGATTTTCTTGACATAGGATATTTGGGAGAAGAACATATATTCTTGATCCAAGAAAATATGGAATTCGACCAAGAAGTTAATCTTCTTATACGAAATATAAAATGTATTAAATGAATAAAATATTTTCTTGTTCTAAGAATATATATAGATGATTGAATTATTTTATTCGATTCATTCAATGTTTTGTAACGTTCGTTCAAGTAATTCAAGATTAAATGAAGAAAACATTTATTTTGTGAGAAGAACAGATATTCTTGATCCAAGAAAATATGGAATTCTACCAAGAAATTAAGTAGCATGTAAGAAATGCAGAATATATTAATTCAAAATCATTTATGTATCAAATCAAGAAAGTATGTTCTCTGTCCGAGAAAATATTTTCTTGATTTGAGAAAATTTATAGTTTTCAATCAAAAAAATACTTTCTCAATACAAGTAAATTATTTACTTAAATTACCCCCCCCCCTTACCTCCATCCCATCTTTTCTAATACTTAGGTCAAACATTTTTATTATTTAATTAATTAACATTTATATTTTTTATTTAAATAATTAAATAATTATTATTTTACATATATATTCACATTTAATTAATACTTAACACAAATACAACAAATATACCTTGAAAGAAAATTTTCCACGGTCGGAGGAATTGAACTCGGGTTGCACGCACCAGAAGCCGTCACGCTACCACTATGCCATCCTAGCCTCAATGGACAGTTTTCAAAAACTGATATT